AAGGTGTAAAGGTGACCATAAGTAGATTTTTATTAATATATAATTGTCAACAATACAAACATTACTCTTACACCTACATCACATATTTCAGACATAAATCATTCAAAATTCAATAAATATATAATTGATTAGATATGTTACAAATATTTTTAACTTGCCAAGAGAGATATTGTATATTTGGAAGACGAATGATTATGAAAAATTAAAGAAGTTCAAAATAGCAGATTTGTTCAAAAAAAGTACACTTCAATTTTTATTCCTAATCATGAATAAACTTGGTGATATGAGTATTTAGAATAAAAAATGAGATTATAGAAAAGATTCAATTGGACGGATGAGTAATTTCCTAACTACATACAGTTTGAGTATTTTACTAACTACTATAATAGAAATATACTATAATGGTATTAGTGAACTACAGTAGAAAATTTTTATACACTTACTAACAAGAGAATAACATCATAAAAAATTAGTACAAAAATATATTTAATCATTTACCACTTTTAGTGAAATATTTCTTTGATTTCCGTCATATCCAGATGGTCCCTATTCTAAAATCAACTAAAAAAATGTTGCATGAGCATGAAAACTGAAATCTTAGGTTGGCACTGAATTGTCCAATAATTTTTGGCAGTCTTTTGATGAAAGGATATCACATTATCTTGAAAGTAATCAACGAACTGCCATCTGGAAAATTATATTTTTCCAAGAAATCTATGAATAACCAAGTTGAAAATCCTCACAGAACTTTCAATATGAACACTTCCTTCATTTTTTTTTTGATAAAAAAATCACAAATTGTATTAGCAAACTAGTCTCAAGAAATTAATGAAGTGCCAAGTTGTACTTGTGGACTGTCAAAACTTTTGACAAATAACGATTTTTATCGTTTTTAAACCTTTGGTAAAATTTTGAATATTAGTAGCACTTTTGACACAAATTTAAGACAACAAAACAACATAAAATAAACAAAATCAAGTGGTAAAACATATTCGTCATTAGTTTCTACTTTATATACAATCTAAAAATAATAAACATTCTAGGGGTACACTAATATGCTAATGGTTATACAATGGGTTTTTGCAAAATGATCTACTTAGAAAATACATCAATATCAAAAATTATCTCAACTAGAGTGAAATAAAGCTGCTGCAAGTTCTATTCAGTAGACAACAGACAGTAAAAAAAGTATTTCTGTCATGAAGATGAAAAGAAAATGTTGAGAAATTGAGAGTCTATGAAATATTTGTTTTTGAGCAGATGAAATTCACTAATCACTTCTAAAAACATGGAATGATAAATGTGAAAGGTTACATATAAAACACAATTCAGTTCAATGTCAACAGCCACTTGATCAAATGGCAATATTAACAATCCAGGTGACTGCAATAAAATTTGGCAAACGCTTTTTAAACTTGAGGCATTTCTAAATAAAATAATAGGTACTGACATTTTTGTTTATCTGGAAATATTGAAAAGGTTTCTCAGCCGTCCCAAGTATTTGAAAGATAACGAATCATCTAGCTTGAGTTTAGGAAAGAATAAATTCTATTGAGAAAAAGTTCTCTAAAAAATGATTGTAAAAAGTGATGATATAGAAATTGATCTTTTACCTACATATTGGTAATTAAAAATACCACTGGATTTACCCAACTTACTGAATCCTGAATACCGAAATATTGAATATCAAGTAACCTTGACATATCTCTGAATCATTTTGGATGAGTTGGACCTGATTGTTGGCTAATAGAGAATCTTTTCATTGGAACTGAATCTTTACTTTTCAGTTTGGCTACGAAATTAGGGACTCTTGCTCTCAATCCACAATAGTAAGGGTCTTCATACTGTTTGTTGTCTTTTGATTTCTCCTTTCCCCTTGAAGATCCAAACGGTTTGAGCCAGTTGTTGCTAATATTGCTGACATTGTCATCGTAATCAGGTTTTGGTATATCATGGGGATACATATTCTCCCGAGGTGGTAACTTGGGAGGCTTATCACTCCTTCGCTGAATGAAGTTTGGTACTCTAGTACGTAATCCACAATAATAAGGATCTTCATCAAATTTCTTGTTATCATTTGATCTTTCCTTATCTTTTGCAGACATGAGTGTTTTCAATTGCCTTCCAGACATATAGTCATCATAATCAGGTTGGGGAATATCTTGGGGATACATTTTTTCCCGTGGAGGTAATTTTGGAGGTTTGTCACTACGGCGTTGATTGTGATGTTGACTTTGTAGCAGGAGTTGCTCCCTTGTTGCGGCTACACTTCCTCCAGCATAGTTTGAAGTACCAAAGTGACCATTATCATGAACAGCTATGCTATAGGGATCTTCATCTGGAATAGGAATTCTAGGACGGTTTTTAATATCCATGACTCTTTGAACAGGTGGAAGTTTTGACTTCAACATGTCTAAGGCAACTATATTTATGATCATAACCCAGATAGGACATTCTAATAATTCAGGTTCTACTTTAACAAAGGCTATTGCGCTTAGACACTGGCATTCTAATCTTCTACGATCTGGATAAGCCCGCCTTAGTTCACGATTTACATTTGACTGGAACTTTTTCATATCAAACAATTTCACAGGTTTTTCAGGTTCCAAGGCACAATTGGGTATCTTGAAAATTTCATTTCCTATTGCATTTTCCGATTCTTGAGCCGTATTTTTAATATACACATTACATTTTGAGACTCGTTTAATTAATATGTTACCAGCATCATCCATTTTAATTTTAACTCCATGACCAATATGCCTTTTATATTCTTCGGTTTTTTGATCTCTCATAGGGTTCTCAAATCCACATAAACCAATTCTAAATCCATCGAATCCATCATCAGAATCATTCACAGTAAGAACAGGAGCTCGGGCATAGGCTTTTGCAACCCTACGATTTCTCTCAAAAACAATAACTTTGGCCCATATTTCATCATCAATTTGAGTCCATTTATTTAACACTTCTTGTATGTGATCCCTGTATAATTTTTCTTTCTGATACCAAACATCTTCTTCCTCTTCAGGGGGTTGATAAACGGAATCCATATGGAGATCATCACGTGACCTTGATAGAATTTTTCGACGGGATACCATTACTTCGAGACGTATTTGGAAGTGAAAGTCTTGACAGGATTTTTAATGCTCACAGTAAAGTAGGTGCAGCAAAAATCTGTTAGTATTTCTGACTGAATAGGTGACTTCCATTAAAAGCACAACACTGTTATAATCACAAAAACAAATTTTAACTATTAAACGACAATACGTAATGAAACAAATACTTCTGAAGCTGAGATTAGAAAGTTTACACTTTCTAATCTTTGGAAGGCCGTCTTCGTCACAAGGCCGCCCTCCTGCATACCAACTGCCAACGACTTGAATAAGAGATGACAACGTCAATGTCAATATTGACATGTGACACAGACAGAAAGGGGCGAGTTCTTAAAGTCTACAAAAGTGACAGTATTTTTGTTCTGGTGTGGGATGAGTGTTTTCAATAGACATATCAAGTTGACATTTTACAGAAACCACCAAGTAGGTACTCGACAGGGATTTAAATAATATACTTGATCGGCGTTGCATTCTGTTGCGTGTACACCTCTAGACAAAAAGCCAATTTGGTTGATCCCTGAAAATACTAAATTCAAACAATACTTCATCAAATTCGCTTGATTAGAAATAATGTCGGTGGTGTACTGATCCACGAATTTTGTCCGTTTTGATTATCGAACAATGCGGGTCTGGATTCTTCATTGTTGACAGGTTTGTCACTCTCTTATCATGTATTTTTTCATCTTTCAAGTGTTCATATGAATCCTTCCTTCATGTTTTTTATAACTCACTAGTAAGCAACCCAAACGCCTTGTTCTCGGAAACAATAAAGAATAATAAAAATGATATATTCATACATTTTAATTGCTTTATACTGGTATAAGTATACAAGACGCTACACTGTGTGTATAAGGTAGTCTCTCATTTTGTTATGAAAATATAAAGTTCTGTCCTAGTCATTCATTTCTTTTCGTCATTTGTTCCCATCTGTCAGCGGTACTCAATGTATCTACAAATGTTAATCTGAACTTTATTGTTTCAGAAATAGTCCATGTATAAATATCCCCAAATTTGAATTTCAGAACCAATTTGCTGCCGGACCTCTCAGATGTGACTATACAACTATCAGTTTGGTTAGTTCATCCCAAGCTTGTAAATTGGTTCTAGTTGTAACCGAGTTCAATCAATCTAATGCCCAACACCAAACTCTATCGCCTAGAAAAATCCACAATGTTTGAGGTATATTTGGAACTATCCTCATATTTCCACTATTTTGCACTGCCATTGTATTGAGAATTTGCAACTGGGTAGTCATTTAATTATTTACCTGTTGCATTACCCACTGAAATCTCCCCAAAATTGCCCTGTTCTTCCTAATAATGATAAAAATAACCTCGAAAATTATTAGTATTATTATCTCGACTTGGATTTGAATTTATTTTTATTCAAATCAAATCGACGTGAATGAGCGAATACCAAATACTGTGCTTGCCCTAATGACACCTACTAAAACTTATACCCAAATCACCCTCTAAAACTATTGAATAACCTGACACTGTATATTTGTAATAAAATTTCTCTCCTGAATTTGACGTCTGTCAAATTTTCTAATTTTAGCAGATTCAGCACATGAAACATATTTGGTATACAAGAAACACTTCTGAAATGTTAGCTTTTGCTCACCTGGATATGGTACAAAAAACACAAAAACTCCAAAAAACACTTTGTTATGTATAATCAATAACGTACCCTCTGCCCCGATCTAAGCTCTCTGATTTATATTGCCCATAATCCCCAACTCTCTATTTTAACAACAACCTTTCTGACATATATTTTGATAGTTCTATTGTATAATGAGTGATTATAAATTTTCTGTTTGAACGTTTTCTAATGAATCTTTCATAAAATTTTGAATTTCATATTTTATTCTCCATTAGATTTTGAAATTTTTTGTTAGTACCTAGTCGATATTAATTCACCTCTCTCATCAACTAAAACGTTAGGTACGCCATTGATTTTTAGAGTTTGTTTTTAGTTCATAACTGTTCCCGTTTTTTATCAACCCATGATGTGATGATCAAGCAGAAATTTGAATGTAATTACATAATAGCAAACTATATAACAAACTAGGTATTGTGTAAATATAATCTACCTGAACATGAAAAGTAGAACATTCAGGAAGAATTAATTCGTGTTGAAAGTATGACAAATTGTGGTTTCAATGCATGTTCTGATGACATTTTCTTCTTTCCTCTTCGAGAAATAACCTCCATTGAATCTTATATTTCAATTATGGCACTATAGACTCTCCAAACAAGCGTTGAAGTAGGTGACTTTTTATCGTTGGTAAAGGTCATCATTACCTTTCCAGTAATTCAAAATGAAAATAACTCAATAGTCCTAGATCGATCTATGTAAATGTTTCAATCACTCATCATTTGATTACTTTTTGGATGAATATTACTATAGTTTCTTTCTCAACACCAAACCAGTTTGATCTTCCTCTTGAAGATTATCACTTGGTGATCGAGGCACGTTTCGAGGTATTAAATTAACGGTTTGGTGTTGGGAAAAAACTCCAGCAATATTTATTACTACACCAAAGGTTCCTTGTGCATCACTGAATGTTCAGAATGGAATCAGTACATTTATGGTACTTATGGGATATGATCTATGATGAATCGTTACTGAAATGTTTTCAGTTGTTGTAGGTTGGGAGAAATTTTTGTAGGTGGGAACTTTCATCAGAGAAAAAACTGGATCGATGCATTTATACTGAAAAACATATGGTCCCGTACTCGAGATTTCATAGATTTCATAGAAACATTCATAACTCAAAAACTACAATGAAGCGTAGACATCACAAATATTGAGGTGATTATGATTTGTTAATCCTGGAGGCATCCTATTTTTTTTGACGTCTTCGTTTGAGTCACCCTTTAATGGGTATATAACATTTTCTGACAAAATGGGAAATAAACTTTGAACGTCAGCAAAAACCCTAGTCCAATATATTCATGTTCTATTGTATAGGAAATGTATACTTGATATTGTATATAGAATTGAAATATCTAACATGAATATATTGAAAACACTATTGATGATTTGTGTTCAGCAAAACGCGCGTTCTAGCGGTGGAAGAATGTTTTCACTAGAGGGAAATGTATTCCCAGAGACCGTGGTGTTGTTTTTAATTGTCAGGTATATATCAATCTTGTCGACTGTGACATTAAGGTCGACAGTTAAGAATTGAAATGTTCTCATTTTAAAGCAAATGGATACTTTTTTAAATACCTGGGTATGTGTTAAAGACATATATGTGTTACATTGTATATACCTACTGGGTTTTTTGTTGATATTAGAGCAGTTTATAGCAAGTTTAATTTAAAAATTTATTATATGTTTGAAATTTTACGATGCCGAATAAGGGCCATACAATTTTATTGAAAACAAAATTCTGAATTTGAACTCCCGAAAATTCTGAGTTCAAAGTTAGAATTTTGTTGGGCGTTCAATTTTCGCTTTTAATTGGAGTTTGATATCTATTCCATGTTTCATTACTAAGCTAATACATATCTTCACCCAATTGACACCCATATCCCACCAAATATATGAATCCGAAATATGTTCACAGATATTACAGTATATCATTTCATTTATGTAACTATTCAAAATAAATCCATATAATTATTTTTCAGAAGTGATTCAATAACAACAATATTCAAACCGAAAAATGTACATACTTCAATTTTATTTATTTGTTCATTGTAAATCAATTCTCAATTTCAAAATCAAAAGAATCCCGCGTTCGCGTAAAGTAATTTCTCATGAAATAATCCAGAACGTACGTTGCATCATCCATAGAATGAAACCAACGCATACAACTCTCTAGAAGTCACGATCTCGAACATTTCCTATTCAGAAAACTCTGCGCTGGTCCAATAAGTTCACGCCAACAAGCTGGTCACAAACCAATGAATTGTCGCCTCGTTCGAAAGATAACCAATCAGACCACAACACGACTATTTTCCGATCCTATATTTCCGACACATCCCGAAATTTTCGCCAGTTTGTCAGAGAAGTCGAAGTTATTTGTATCATAAGTGTTGAAAAATATTGATTGCGGAAAAAGTGTTTTTCTTTTAGCGTGAACTGAATTGTGGAAAAATTCAAAATGTGAGTAATTCCAAACATGCATTTTATTGTTACGTGAATTTTGTTTCTTTGATGTACATACTGTGCTTGAAGATTACCGGTATATTCCTTCTAGAACTCTCTAGTAATTTTTTTAATTTAATTTTTCACGTTTTCCCGTTTCAGTATGTTATAGGTGATATTGAAATTTTCTTCTTTTCTTTTTTTTAATTCAGTTCTGCAGTGCAAATTTTCTTTCCAAAAATTCTGATTTTTAAATGACGTGTCATTATTGAAACAAGTACAGTTAGGTACCTATAATTAAAACATGTCAAAATACCTCCAGTTAATACAGTTATAAAATTGAATGGACTGGAATAAATTATAAATCCCGTTAATTTTCAGATATTCTTTAACAATTCCCAAAATGAGGTTATATATCTCTGTTGGATTACTGTGTCTTTTGGCAACTGTTTGGGCCAAAGAGGACAAAAAAGAAAAGGATGATGTTGGTACAGTCATTGGTATCGATCTTGGAACTACATATTCTTGGTAAGTGTTGAAACAATTTAATTGTCTTACAGCTGTTCCACTTGCCTTCGATTTTATGCAATGTTAATTTTTATATGAATTTGTGATTTATGGTTTCAATTTTCAGCGTTGGAGTGTACAAAAATGGTCGAGTTGAAATTATCGCCAATGACCAAGGAAACCGTATAACTCCGTCTTATGTAGCTTTCACTGCTGATGGTGAACGTCTAATTGGAGATGCTGCTAAAAATCAGTTGACAACTAATCCTGAAAACACTGTCTTTGATGCCAAGAGACTGATTGGTCGTGACTTCACAGACTCCACTGTTCAGCATGATCTGAAACTGTTTCCTTTCAAAGTAATTGAAAAGAATCAGAAACCTCACATTCAGGTAGAAACAAGCCAAGGTAATAAAGTGTTTGCTCCTGAAGAAATATCTGCCATGGTTTTGGGAAAGATGAAGGAAACGGCAGAGGCTTACTTGGGTAAAAAGGTTACCCATGCAGTGGTCACGGTACCTGCTTACTTCAACGATGCTCAGAGGCAAGCCACCAAGGATGCTGGTGTAATTGCAGGGCTGAACGTTATGAGAATTATCAATGAACCCACTGCAGCAGCTATTGCCTATGGTTTGGACAAGAAAGACGGAGAGAAGAACGTGCTTGTGTTTGATTTGGGCGGTGGTACTTTTGATGTCTCTCTGCTAACGATTGACAATGGAGTGTTTGAAGTAGTAGCAACCAATGGTGATACCCACTTGGGTGGTGAAGATTTTGATCAGAGAGTAATGGATCACTTCATCAAGTTGTACAAGAAGAAGAAGGGCAAAGACATCAGGAAAGATAACAGAGCTGTGCAAAAGTTGAGACGTGAAGTGGAAAAAGCCAAGAGAGCCTTGTCTGCCAGTCATCAAGTTAGGATTGAAATCGAATCATTCTTTGAAGGTGATGATTTCTCAGAAACCTTAACCAGAGCTAAATTCGAAGAATTGAATATGGTGAGTTTTGCAGTTTTTATTGATTAACTCATTACATTCTTTGTTTTGAACAACTTTCTGAAAGAAAAATTACTTTACAATGTTAATCTTGGTAAATTTTCGTTATCTGGGCACCCGGCGATTTTGAAAAAATTTTTGACTGTACTTATCCGTATCTTTTTAAATAAAGGGAGAGCACCGCTTTTTTCTTTCGGATTCGTTTTCTACGCATCAAAATACGTAAGTACAGTCAAAAATTTTTTCAAAATCGCCGGGTGTCCGCATAACGAAAATTTACCTTAATCTTGATAATCTTTTTTTTGCGTGAGCAAATTCAGAAAGCAGCCTGTGATTAAGCGTTGTTCATGATAGAGTAAATCCTTCCTATTGAGTAGCAACTTTTAGGTTTTAGTCTGCCAATTATAAAATTTGCCTTTTCTACACTTGTTAATATTTTTTCTCAGGTTGTGAAAGATTATAATACTAAAAAAATTAGGAAAAACAAAAAAGGCATTACAAAAAATGGCATTGAAGTATTATTCAACAGATGTTATTGGCAGACAAAAGGTTGTTACTTGTCTCAACCTCTTTTTCTGTAGCTGGGCCAGTATTATTTTCATTAAGCTTGGAAAATCCTTCCAAATCACTACAATTTGACATTAAGGCATATGTTAATGAAAATTTAAAATTTTTGAATCTAAGTTTCAATTCATTGCTACAAATTCTCCTCAAAATCTTTGTGCTAGTCAATGCAGAAAATGCTCTAAAATTTATAATTTTTGAGATTTGTTCAATGAGTACAGAATAATAGAAACTCTATGAACAGTTCATAAATTTCATGTTATTCTACTAATATGGGTGAACTAGTATCATTATTGACTGTCAAACACAAATAACAATTCAGAAGTTTTTTCATATAAAAATCTTTGTTGTACCAATTCCATTCTTTTTAATCATGAATTCTATTATGAAAAATGACTTTTTCAGAGACTTGAAAATTATTTTGTATGTTCTATTCCAGGATCTGTTCCGTTCAACTATGAAACCAGTTCAAAAAGTACTCGAGGATGCAGATATGAACAAAAAAGATGTTGATGAAATCGTCCTCGTTGGAGGATCCACACGTATCCCAAAAGTACAGCAACTCGTCAAAGAATTCTTTGGTGGCAAAGAACCTTCAAGAGGCATCAATCCCGATGAGGCTGTAGCTTATGGTGCTGCCGTACAAGCTGGTGTGCTCTCTGGCGAACAAGACACTGACGCTATTGTCCTTCTCGATGTCAACCCCTTAACTATGGGTATTGAAACAGTTGGCGGTGTCATGACAAAACTCATTCCACGTAATACAGTCATCCCAACCAAGAAATCGCAGATCTTCTCAACTGCATCAGATAACCAACACACTGTCACCATCCAGGTATACGAAGGTGAACGTCCAATGACCAAGGACAATCATTTACTCGGTAAATTTGATTTGACGGGCATTCCACCAGCTCCCAGAGGTGTTCCACAAATTGAAGTAACATTCGAAATTGATGCTAATGGTATCCTCCAAGTATCTGCTGAAGACAAAGGTACTGGAAACAGAGAAAAGATTGTTATCACCAATGACCAAAATAGGTTGACCCCTGACGATATTGACAGAATGATCAGGGACGCAGAGAAATTCGCCGACGAGGACAAAAAACTCAAGGAACGTGTTGAAGCCAGGAACGAATTGGAAAGCTATGCATATTCATTGAAGAATCAAATTGGCGACAAGGAAAAACTTGGTGCTAAATTATCTGATGACGAGAAGACCAAAATGGAGGAAGCCATCGATGAGAAGATCAAATGGTTAGAGGACAACCAAGATACTGAAGCAGAAGACTACAAGAAACAGAAAAAGGAGTTGGAGGATGTCGTTCAACCAATCATTGCCAAACTATACCAAGGTGCAGGAGGAGCTCCACCACCACCTTCAGGTGATGATGAAGATGACCTTAAAGACGAGTTATGAGGCGACCTCTGAATCAAAGACTGAAAAAACTGTGAGAATGTGAACGTGTGAGTGTAATAATTGAATTAGGTACCTAATTTTTTCAAGTTTCCAACGACTGCTTTCCTCATACAATTGTTTTTGTATTGATTAGGATTTTATATTGAAGTGATTTACCTTCAAGGTAGATTTATTTATTTATTTCGTCAAATACGGGTGTATGACTTTATATTTTTCTTTTTGTTTGTACACCTGTATTTGACTGTTGTCCTTGTATTTTTTTTCAATAAAATTGAATTTGAAAATAGTGTTTGGTTTTATATCAGAAAATATATCTGGGAAAAGTTATTGAGGATATTTCCAACTTGTTAGTTATACTCCTCAGAACATATTTCATCAATATAATTGAGAAAGCAAAAAAAATAGGAATTACAAATGAAAATATATTTACCTTGGATGACGTTTCGCGAACATTTGGTAGAAAACACTTGAAAACTTCCACATCAATTGTATAAATGTTGAATTCAATATATTCTGAATATGTAGAAATCAGCTTTCATCTTTGAAAATTCATATATTTTTGCTCTTTGAACTCTGATAAAATTCATAAGTAGCGTTACTAACAAGTTGGATAAATTCTCATCTGAATTTATATTCAAAAGTTGCAACACTTCTTGGCAAATATAGAAAAGTAGGCTTTCAAGGTTGGCGTTTTGGTAGGTTTCCGGGTTTTGCCGTTGTCTTATCTGGTTATAATCTCACGTCAAGAAGAGTACGCCACTGAAGATGACTGCCGCAGTTACAGTCAAAACGTTTGGCAAAACATTTCTTGGCAAATTTGTCCAGGGGAGTTCATACTCATATATATCAAATAACTTACTGTCCCTTCTCAAATAGCATTCAGACAATATTAACACATATATAGAGGGTGTGTTGTATATATAGGTCAGGAGCAGATCTAGGAACATATTGAGGTGGGGGCGTACTCAGATACATTTTCTACCTATACAATAATTAAACATTTTCTACGTCCAAGGAGGGCTACTGGCTGACTATATCACTGATATAAGTTTAGGTGTAAAAGTTGGACTTTTCAAATGATCTCCCAATATGCAAGGTATCCTGTGGAAGTACTATATTTGTATTGAAAATAAATGTTTTGGGAAGAGACTAATTTCTGAAAGAAGCTTCTGTGTATGCATGTACCTACGTTTTTATTGCTTCTTTGGAAATTTCCCATATTTTTTGTTTGACGATTTAGAAAAAAGCCAAAACGTTTTTTCCAAAGAAACTACTTAATCTTTCCTAAAAATAAATATTCCCTATCCAATTCAAATAAAATTCCTATGGCTGAGATCAAGCATAGTCTATAGGAAGTCAATCTGAATAGCTAAGTAAAAGATTAATGTACCGGGTCTGATAAATTTACTAGTTTATACCATATAAAACCTCCCACATAAAAATAATGATAAAATCTTATATGAATACCACGCCGCCCATGCCATACAAAGAAACTGCCAACGTTCATTAACTATTTAGTTTTTATGCCATTCGGATTGACTTCGTACACACTATAACCTCATGCATATGTACTGTCATCGTGAAAAGAGTAGATTTGTCACTTCCGTTGACATAAAGTCATAATGTTATGGAAGAAATGAGTGCTTTATTGTCTCATATTGTTGTCCAAAACGGTGTTGAGGTGGATGCCTTATCCCGAAGCTTCAAAGTATACCTTTGAGGTTGATACCTTATGTGAGTGACATTTTATATCAATATATCACATTGTGTAGCATTCATATGATGGATATTTGTTTCAATTCCACATTGAATTATTATGCAATTGAATTCCATAACGAATGTTTGGAGTACACACTGAATAGAAAAAAGTGCTTTTGTATAACTCAATCTTCTAATATATAAAAATGAATTGCTGTTCGTTATATCTCGACAAGTGATTCGATCAACAAGTGATCATCTTCAAGAGGAAGATTAATCTTCCAGTTTGATCTTCCTCTTGAAGATGATCACTTGATGATATGGAAACACGTGTCGAGGTGTTAAAAAAATAACGATTTGGTGGTGGGGAAAAACTCCAGTAATATTCCTTACTACACCAAAGGTTCCAAACAGTGCATCACAAGTAATAATAATATGTCGGAAAATGTATCTTGTGTAAGGTTTCCGGGCCTGTACAAGGACTGGAGGAGACACTGTGAGTCAGTAATTTCGAAACTCAACTCTGTCAGCTATCTATTCAGAAACATGAGATCAGCTTTGCCGGAGAAACAACTCATAATATTATATTATACAATACACAGGTCGAATCCCGACTAAGATACGAAATATGTTTTTGGGGGTCATCCACTTCCTTTAATATATTCATATCGCAGAAAAAAGTGATTCGTTGCATCGCAGGTATCTCTCGTACCTCTAGTTGTAGGGAATTTTTCTAAAAACTTATCAAATTTGAACGTTGCTGTGTTTGTACATATTTGAAGTATGCGTTTTTGTATTTTGTAATTTGAACTCTTTTGAAATTAATAAGCAAATTCACACTATTGGTACAAATGACTCACATATGCCATTTTCAAGGACTAATCTTTCATATAGGTCCACCTACTGTGTATTAAATCATGTGTGACATTGAACGTATTCAATGTCTTAGGAAGTACCCGTTGAAAGGTGGATTTTACTGCTTGGAAGAGTTTCAGTCTTAGTTTTAGTTCTATTTTTTTTAACTTGATTGGCCAACGTTTTTTTTTGACAAATTCTATACACGTTTCTGCATGTTACTGAGAAAATAAAGTATTACTATTATTATTATTTAGATTATTCTCTATCTCGTACCAATTACGAGATCTCTAATCATATACTCGAATTTGAATATCCCTGTATATTAAAAAGGAAAAACTGACGACAAAGGTATTTCAGAATGAATGTGTGTATTATAGAAAATACGATGAAAACGGAGGAGATTTGTCATACCTAGATATACGAATAGTACGGTGCCCTAACACCTGAATTCAATATTCTTATTTCGATTGAATACCGTGAGTCTGCGAAATTGGACTTGCAATTCCCTCTCAATCTTTATAGAGCAGCATCCTCAGCGCTGTAGCCTCATAAAACTGGCGCCGCAACGTCGGCCGACTTCCTGGCATATGACTCTTTCGCCAAAATGTACATTCGCGCATTCACCAGAATGAGAAACAAGGATTGTTCATAATCTTAAAGAAATGCGGTGACCCAGTGAAATAGTGTTTTTTCATTGCCAAATACAGTGCAGAAATGGAGAAAAACAACAAAATGAAGATAGTTTGGTTCATTGTGATGTTCTTTAATTTTGTAAGTATGTTGCTATTCCTAAAAATTTATTTTCAACAGGAGCTAAAAAAAATTGAAGTGATTTACTGTAGAATTTTATTGAAATTCTCACTGCCGCAATATCTGCCTCTTGGATGGAACAAATGGGTTAGATTTCAAGATCAGTATTCAGCAACAGTATGACTATCAGAATTATTTATCTCTGTGGAATAGAATACAGAATATGAATTTTATTGTTATTTACTGAAGTCCCGGTTAACAAATCGGGATTTTCTGAAAATTCTTGACGAACAATTTCCGTATTTCTTCATCATGGCTCAAAATAGATTGTTTGCACATCTTCTGTGATTTTTTTCAATCGATTGACTTCAGTTTGTTACCTGTTTTTTCAGCATTGAATGAAAAAAATGTATCGCTTTAATTCAACAATTTTTTTATACTTTCCGCAAGAATTTTCCAATGAACATAAATTGTCAAAACCTACACTTTTGTGCAAACTTCAAGTGTCCTAAAATGACCTTATTCAAAAACGGAAACTGAGGAAAAGTAATCCTGACTTTGTTAGCCCTGCAAGAAAAAACACATTTCTGTAAAACTGAATAAATAATGAAATAACACTATTCTGAATGATATTTGTTTAAATTTTTTCTTATTCAATTTGATGGAGTAGGAGCAGTAAGTAGAAGTTAGAACCATCAACAAGAATTATTGTCAATCAAATTCAAAAATAATGAACAGTTTAACACAGTGATTGAATGTCTTTCAACTTTACAGGTTTTTGGAGTTTCTGGCATAATAATATGTAGTTTGAAGTTGGAATACAGTGACGACGAAGATGTTCGAGTAGGATTTTTCAAAATGTCGATGGCATTTGCTGCTTGTAATCTAGTGCTTAGCGTTTTATTACTAGTAGCTGTACTTAAGGTGAGTTCAATATGATGAGTTGATAATAAAGATAATGTCGAATTGATTTATGAGTGAACTTGAAGAGAAAGTACTTACAAAAGTAAATTACAATAAGAAATAAAAGAAAGAAGGGCGATATCTAAACTACTGAAAACAAAAATTGAAATATTGCCTCGAATATATTTGAAATAAATGCATTTATTGATCACTTGGTGAATGAATAGTATATTTTCTGATTAACTTGGCCGTTACTTGATGAAGATATGTCTTGTATGTATTTTGTTTTCTCTAAATTAACAACTAATTGATTAATATTACACCAAAGTACAAAATATTTAATAACATTGTCAGTTTTAATGTAAATATATGTTATATCAGTGTAACGTTGATCTCACTGCCACATTCTGCACATGTGATGAAGGATGCGTAAATTTGAATGTAATCAGAAAAATATCCGCACCATTTGAGTTCATAAAATTAGTAATGTTTTTTCAGAAGGACCAAAAATATGCATTCCTGTATGCGTTGCTCATATTTTTGAGCTTGTTTGCTGCCACCATACATATAGAGAGCCACACCAGTCACGACTTCACATTTTTGATCATTTTTGCTATATTTGGTAAGTATTATTTCAAAAGAAAAATGAAATTTTAAAACATTTTTGGCACCGTTAATTCAATTTGCAAGAATTGCATATACAATATCGGAAAAAAAATTACAGAAAAACAGGCAGATCCGCCTTTGAAATTTTAGGCTTGATGGTGGTCCAAGTCAGATGATACCATATTCAAATATTTCATGAACATATTCCGAAGAATTGATCGAGTGTTTTCTTAACAAAGTATGAATAGATTTTCAATACTTTCTGCGAAAAAAGAATATGCGGCCAAAAATAGAATTTAAAATTTTTAATTCGACATCGTTCAATAGTATCCGTAACTTTACCACGATTCAACCTACTCTCCATCGAATTTGGAGAACTTTCTATGCATATTTGGAAAAATTTCAAAGAAGATCTTCAAACAAAATGAAACTAGCTGTGGAAATGTGAAGATCACACATACTTCTTTCAGATATAAATCTTAGCCTATATGAAACAACAATTTTTAAGTAGAAAGCCGAAGTAGAAAGCCAAGTAGAAAGCCAAAACCTTCATTTCCCATAAATTAATTTTGTTCATAAATATATCTAAAGGTTGATCGATTGTTTCCAATTTTTTCGTAGTTTCCATTCAAACTAGTCATTAGTATGAATCGATTATTCTTTTTGTTTTCAACTTGGTCTGGATTAAATGATCTAATATAACAATTCGTTCAGGCCAGTCTCAACTTACCTACACTGTAGGTTAATGGACTGACACCTAGCAGAAAACAACTATTTCCTGGCTAATACCACGAAGGGCGTTGGATTATATGCGACAGGTGTCAGTACAGGATTCTTCACAGAAGTAATTCCGCATATTTGTTATCGCCCCATCTGCCCGTACACGAGGTAACCAACCGTATATTCGAATCGTCCAATGCCTCGTATAAGGAGAATAGAAACCTATTTTTTCAGACAGTATAATCATTTTCATTTTATTTCAGGTTTTGTTTGCTTCATGTGGTTTTGCTTGTACGGAACGTATCAGTACTGGATGGAAGAAACCCTCACCGAGAGTCATTCTGTTGAAGTTGCCAATGTATGAGGGCTTGACTTACGACTAGTTTTAATTAGTAGATAATTTTATACTATATTGCACTTTGATATCATTGACATATTTCTGTTGCGAAATTTTTTATAATAAAAAGCGAATCAATCCATCGTTCATTTATTTCTTATAGAATCAACTGAATGATAATCAGTTTTTTTCATTCTAGCATTTTTCATCATAGAAACTTTTAAAGTGTGTTGAAGAAGAGATTGTTTGTTGATGGAATTGAAAAATCTGTATTTTTCTTTCCATTTATGTATATATGATTCAATAAAAGACATAATTATTTCGATCTGTCAAAGGTACTGTGGTACTTTTATGAATGTAACANCTCTCAAATCTCAGATAAACACCTTCGATAAGTTACTACAGTGGCATTTGAATAGATATTTAATCCATTTGGGAATGCTCCAAATTTTATCATCGGTATATTCTCTAGAGCTTCACAAGCTTAAAAAATCTCAAAGGATTTTTTCAAATCACATACCTAACTGATGTAAAAGCCAGTGGTTGAACGCTGTCTGTTCAATAAATTAGATGAATTTAAATGTTTCTCCCCAAACTACTCATTTGTCCATTAATTTTTATTTCGTTCCCTTCAAAGTAGTCTTCCTCAGATATAAAACACCTGTTCCAGCGTTTTTTCCATTCCTTGAAGCAGTTCTGATATGTAACGAGTATGTTTAGGTATGTCCTTGAGCTCCCATAGCGATTCGGTTTTTATCTACTCAATTGTCGCAAAACGCCACCCTTTCATGAGTCTCTTCAATCTTGGAAACAGAAAAAAGTCGAAAGGGAACAAATCTGCTGAATACGGTGGCTGAATCATGATTACGGCGTTGTTTTTGGCAAAAAAAATTACGAACAAGCAATGACGAGTGAGTAGGTGCATTATCGTGATATGAAAGCTACGAATTGTTTTTCTACAGTACAGGATGTTCTTTTCGTATTGCTTCTCGCAAGCGGCAACTTCAATATACTACTTATTGACCGTATGACCATGTGACAAGAACTCACGATGCACTACGCTACGGCAATCGAAGAAAACAGTATGCAAAACTTTGACATTTGATTTAACTTGGCGTGTTTTGGTATTGGTTCTCCTGGGTTCTTTCGCAATGCTTATGCGACGGTTTTTTTGGGTCAAAATTCAGCAATTTTGAAACGAATTTCGCTACCACACGCTTCATGCCCAAAATGCCCGAAAGAATTGCATGGCATGAGCCAACCGATATGCTCGTATCCCCAGCAACTTTTATAATAGTGATTCGACGATTTTCCATATCAATTTTCTTCACTTTCTCAACAGTTTCATCGGTTGTTGATTTGCTGGGGCGTCCAAGCGTTGTCATTCACATCTTCTAGACCTTCTGTGAAAACTTGTACCACGTTTTTCTGACTCGGAGTTGAACACATTGTTAACAGTCAACCACAAGTACAAGTACCTTGGACGTAACCTGTGACTAGCTAATCAGCTAATCCGTTCAGCTAGAGTGATCTCTTTTAGAAAAGTTGGTTAAAGGATCTGTCAACGTTGACTAGAATGAGGAAATGGTTTTCGAAAAATCCAAAAACATTGTGATCATTATTGATGGCGACTTCCCATGCAAGGTTCAAGGGAATAATGAAAGCTCTGTATCCCAGTCGAGATGTTGAGATCTGTAGATGTGAAAACTCAAACAGAGGTTTACAGTAAAATTGTTTATTCTATATGTCTGTCGAAACTGATTTTTCAACATTTTATTCATTTCAAAGCTAGAGACTGTTGTAGATTTTTTGTGTTTCACGATATCAACATTCTGTATCATTTTTGATAATTTTATGGTTGTCAAAGTGTTCTGTCAGAAACAAAATAAATGAAAGAAGTTAGGTAAAACAATTCAAATTGGATTATTCAAAACTGAAACTCTGGTTATAATAATTTATTTGTTTGCTAGATGATACAATCAAAAAGCCTCTGTCAGAATATTTCGTGCAATCAATCAATTATGTATTTGCACTTGAAGATTTGTTGAAATCGATGCGCCTTTGTTGTTTGAAATCACTTGAGTTGTATTTATTGAAGTGTTGACGGAAAACAATTAGTGAAATGATCGTTACTGATATTTTTTCTACAATCTGCTTGTAAAGATACATACTTATCTCACAAATACGATATTGAGGTGAGTATAAATACCTACTTCAAGTATTGATATTCAGAATGAGTTATTCATTAGTTGAAAAAATTTTATTGAATGTTAACGATGTTTTATACATACATTTTTATATTTGCTGGATTTTTATGGGATTACTCGAAGGTAACAGTTACATTTTTTTTTTCATTGTTGTAGCATGTTTGGATTGGATCAGATCGAAAAACAATTGAAATAAATTATTTTGGTTATTAGAATAGTGCAATTTGATTGGGGTTTTTTGTTGATGGTACATTTCTGCTGTGAAAGAAATTGGCCCCTTGTTATTATTATTTCCTGCATTGAACAAAATTATTAGTTAATTTTTGATTGGAATTTCAAAGAAATACAATTATCCCATTAACAATAAACTAGAAAATAAGTATTCCGAAATAAAATGAATTGATGATGCATTTGTTTATTACAATTTTTGAAACAAAAAGGTTGAAGAATTGGAAAACTTATATTCATGTACCTGTCATTAATTAAATATTTTCAATGCATAATTTATGTTTTTCATGTCTTGACATCTTTGATTGTTCATCAAAAATGAAAAGGTAAAAATTTTAATTTTTCCTCCAAGATCTTCAAATAAGGAAAACTCTAAAAAAAAGTTCTGGCTTCCATATTGAAAGGTATCAAGTTTTTAAAAACTTTCAGCTGAATAACAGGAGCATAATTAGGAGATAAAGTGCGATAAACACATTTTCCTAGCGGATTATTGTTTATTCTACTAAGCACCAAGTACTCATTTTTTTTACCTGAATATTTATATTTAATAGGTTCAATATATTTTTTTTTGAAGCGTTCGAATTAGGCGTCACGAGAACTGAACCATACCTTTTTATCTGTGTGTATTTTGTACGCTCAATTGATACTATAAATATTGATGGGGGACTTTTTTTCAATAAATATTATGCTTTTTGCTATTCCTATTGCAAGTGTTGCTCTTTTGTAAACTTTCCAGTAAAATTCTCACAATAAGGTGTTTTTTTCCAGTAGACAAATGATTTGTAGAGTGAGATAGCCAAATCTTCCAATCACTCTCCCTTCAATTGGTTCCTTTCTCACTCAAGTATTTGGAATTATTAGTATAGCGTCTGTCGTATTTTAGTAACGTTGTCAATTTCAATCAGATCTCAGGAATAACACAACTTTCGTGAATAGTGAACTATTTAAAATAAACAATCTTATGGTACATTATTTATTTATTTACCAATATAGGGGTTACAAACAGATTAACAAATCCAATAGAGAACACGCTTTATAATTTTAATTCAAGTGGGCATTGAGAAAAAATAATGTAAATGTAAGTTTTTTGTAAATTTCATTGGACAATCGAAGGATAACATAATTCTTATAAGAGTGACAGAGACTACAGAAATGATCATAACTTATCAATGAAATTTTGTTTCATCCTGCGTTGCGTTGCAACTCCAACGGTAAAGGCAACGCACGCCAGGGAGCAACAATGTATTATGACTGAAATTACACAAAACCTTTGTAAATTGTAGCCTATATGTTATTCTGATGTATGAGCTGTATTTATGTAAAGTTTCATCTAAATCCGTTCAGTCGTTTAGGCGTGAAAGAGTCACAAACATAGTACAGATATAGATGTTCAGCACAAGCAATGGTGCTAAGATATCGTGTCTTGGATATAACTCGTTTGTATATTATTAACGGTTCACATGTATCTGTATATTTCGTGTGTGTTTTTTATTCATATTCTGTAATTGGGTTCATCCTGTAGAAGAGTGTAACATAACAATAAAATAACATGAAGTATAAAATAACATAAAATAACCACGAAGTTCCTTTGAAGTTACGGTGACCTTGAAGGTAAACTGATTATTGGCAAATTTCAGGGGGATTTGATAGTAAACACAAAATATGGTTTGATGTTAGGAAAAGAAGCGGAGACGATTGACTTGAGAAAACCATACTACAGCTTTTTAGGAATTCCATACGCTAAACCACCCATAGGAAAATTGAGGTTCAAGGTAGGTTTCTAAAAACCCTTTTAGGATAATAACTATTAGTCATTTCCGATGTAAATTGTTTGTGATGGCCTTCAGTGACTTGAATCTAAATTACACAGAGTTGGTTGTTCTTTATTAATAGTCATATTTGTTTTCATTGGGTAGTTATTTTGATATAAAAAATCTCGATCATAAAAATGTCGGAAAGTGAAAATAAATATCAACAATTTAAGTAACACTTTATTGTGAAATATTCACTAGTGAAAATCTCACAATAAAGTGTTTTTTTTGAATAAGTTATGGATTTTCATCAAGTAACGGCCAATTTCATGATAGAGGTAACATTCTGATATGTTCGAATTCGATATACTTTTCATTTGAAACCTTATAAAGGCGACTTTACTTATTTGCATCTTCTTATATCACAAAATGGCCTGCCCAGACGATACATATCGAGATAACGATAAAATACAAAAAAATACAGACAAGTATTTCATCATGAATTCGACTCAGATAATATAGTTTGCTAGGATTTATCTTTCTCTCTCTTTCTAGGTTTTCTTGACCTTTGCTTGCGTACAGCGCACTTAGCCAAGCTACTATTTATCATGACTCTGAGATGCATATAATCCATTATTCATTACTCACAATCATATTTTTATAGACTAGTTATTTCAATATTTATTCAGTTTATCGATAATCAAAAGTGCGGAAAACGAAAACAAACAATAATCAGAAAACACTTAAAAAATAACGATTGACAAAAAACGTAAATAAAAATAACAAAGACAATATCCTCAGTATGAATAAGAAAATGATTTGAATGGAAACACTATGAAATATGTAAAGTAGAAACATGAAACCTCAAGAAGTTTGGCTTGAAAGGAAATAAATTAGTAGATGGACATAGGCTTTCACGGCCGGTGTAACGATTGAAGAGAACAAAAACCGGGCTATTAGGCTACAAAGAAGATCCACAATGTCCAGAACATTCCACAGAGCATTAGTAACATGAAATGTTCACAAATATTTCACAACATTCAGTACATTTCGGAATATTTTGTAATCATTGAACATTCTCGAATATTCTGGAGAATTCTAGAAATTTCTAGAGGGCAAAACTTCCAGTCCCAATATCTTCAAAAGCATGCCCATCAAGCTAAAATGCGAACCTTCTTCTTTGATGGGAAATAAAGAACTACCACATTATAACCCAATTGATTGTTCTACATTCTATCACCAAATATTCCAGAATACTCTCGATTACTTTAAAATGTTCAGGACTTTTCTAGAAACTTCAATAAGGTGAAATTTCTAGCCCTATCTTTGAAATTATGCCCTTCAGATGAAAACGGGAATTTTATTCATGACCGAGGATAAAGGGCTAACTAGCTTATTAGTGGGCTGAAAATTTCGTAGTATAACACACAGATGGCGCTACTAGCATTAAATCCATATTATTTTTAGATACGTGTACAAATTTCACAGCTGTCGGACTATTAGTTTGTAGGATAAAACATTTTGAGTGAAGCAACTTTCGTTAGTTTGAAGAAAATGGATATAAAGGAATTTCGTGTGTCAATAAAGCATTATTTTTTGTCAAAAAAATACTGTTGAAGCCAAGGTTTGGCTTGATAAACGTTATTCGGACTTTGCATCTGGAAAATCAACCGTTGAGAAGTGGTTTGCCAAGTTCAAACGAGGTGAAATGAGCACCGAGGACGATGCACGCAGTGGATGCCTCAATGATGGTGGTACTAACGAAAACATGAAACAGTACACGAAATAATTTTAGATGACCTGCAAAATGAAGTTGATCAAGATAGCTGAGGCTCTGAAGACATCAAAGGAACGTGTTGGACAAATCGTGTATCAATATTTGGGTATATGAAAGCTTTGTTCAAAGTGGGTGCCGCACGAGCTCACAATCGACCAAAAACAATAACGATTGGATGATTCTGAGCAATAGCGAATTTATGCGTCAATGTGTGACAATGGATGAACCATGGCCCGATCATTTTACATCGGAATCAAAACGATCGCCATCTGAGTGGACCGACTCCAAAGTGTAAAATCCGTCCACCGTAGACTCCAGATCTGGGGCTCAGCGACTTTTTCCCGTTCTCAGATCTCAAGAGAATGCTCGCTGTAAAAAAATTACCTCCAATGAAGAGGTAATCGTCGAAAATGAACCCTATTTTGAGGCTAAAGACAAATCGTATTAGTAGGTATCTGAAAATTGTACGATTACTATATAGCCCTATTGTGAATAGAGCCATTAGAGTTATTCACAATTTGAGGCGGAAGTTTCAAAGTGAATTTAAAGTTTTGAAAACGGAAAAAGATTGTTTTCTGAAACATCGACCATCAAAGAAAGATTTTGGAAGGTCATACACTCAAAAAAACTACTAAGAAATACAAGGTTTGATTTCGTTAACATATTTTGTTCAACCTACGATGAAGTATGTTCGAAATTTTGAATCACATATATCAATGGCTTGTTAGATACGCATTTTCAGAATGGTTCATCATTATTTTTCATAAGCGTTCAAAGAAAGATTTTGGAAGGTCATACACTCAAAAAAACTACTAAGAAATACAAGGTTTGATTTCGTTAACATATTTTGTTCAACCTACGATGAAGCATGTTCGAAATTTTGAATCACATATATCAATGGATTGTTAGATACGCATTTTCAAAACGGATCATCATTATTTTTCATAAGTGTTTATCATTTGCGTGTGTAACAATCTACTACGCGTAGATCTACTTTGTTATAGATATAATTGATGAAATGAAGTAAATATTTGCACAATGTCATCGAAGGTAAAAATATAAATTATCCACAGATAACTTACTACATTACAACATGAAAAGGATCTGTGTTTTTATCGATTTTTAGTAAAAAGGAATTTATACACTACGTGAAGGTCAAAACAAAATGAGATGACATGTAATCGGAGAAGTGGAAGATTGAAAAAAGTAAATCTTTTTAGTTATCTGAATTTTGAAAATATATAAAAATTCTTTTGAATTAGGTGGTATTTATCATTTTTTTTTGCTAATTATGTAATAGTATTGTAACGAATTAATGAATTAACTGTCTTAAACAAATTTATTTTTAACAATATTTCACTTTCACAACTAATTTATACTTAGCAACTAACGCTTAATTTATCTTTACAGTTCGAATTCTAGGTACAGACTCCCCGGCCGACTAGAAGTGGCGGCTTTTTATATCGGCAACGATCGCTCCGGATCTCGCTAGGGATTTCGGGACTCATCTACATCTTTCGCGATGAGTCATGCGTATGCTGACTGAGATATCGGTCAGGGCCGGCTTCAGGTTCATTATGTAAATGAAAATGATTTACTTTTGACCATAATCGAAATTTGAAGTACAATTAAAATTATTTATTATTCATTATTTTGGGCAATAATGTAAGAAAGATGTTGCTTTTTTGCAAAACCTTTATTGCATACATTATTCATGTATGACTGATGAATCTGATAGTAATCGATGAGTGATTAATATACCCCGAAAAAAGTTTTGATGATTTGTTTTAAATAAGGAAAAGAAAAGTGTTTTCTTGGTAAATCACTCTGCGCACTGAGCAACTGCCTGCATAACAAATTGCTGTCTATTTTTGAATAGAAGGCAAAATTACAAAGGCAAGCGCATTGCTTTCGTGAGAGAGCATTGAAAATTGAAACTGACAAATTAATTCATTTAAGAAATTATTCGATATTTGCAGAAGGTTATTATTCATCGATTGATTTAGGTTCATTTGAAATACTCATTCGTCGCTACAAACTATTCTTGAAAGTTTTTGACAAGGTGATAGAACTGACAAGGAAAAGTGAGTGGTATGTGACGCTGAAAATGAAGGAGCATGAATTTTTCCGACTTACTCAATACTTATCATAACGACCGAAATTATGTTATTCTGATGTATAAGCTGTATTTATGTAAAGTTTCATCTAAATCCGTTCAGTCGCTTAGGCGTGAAAGAGTCACAAACATACATACATACATCCACTCTCTCTCTCTCTCTCTCTCATTAGTCTTGTAGTTCCTAATGTATGTTATTTTTTCTGTTTTTATACTTACTTAAATTAGCTATCAACTGTAATTATATAATAGTATAACTGAACAGATTCTTATATATTGTGAAAATTTAATTTGAACTGAAATATTTGCGATTGAGAACTAGAGTCAAAATTATTAAATACGTTTTGTTTATAGGCACCTGAACCATTTGACAGCTGGCTAGGAATTTTTTCAGCAACATCCGAAGGAAACATTTGTATACAAGAAAATACTGGCTCAGAAGACTGTTTATATATAAATGTCTACACCCCTAAAGTAAGTGAATAATCATTTGCAATATTAAACTTGACTTCTTCACTAGGGATTGTCTGATCAAAATCAAAATCGTTCATTTTTGGTATTAGTTATTTTTGTTTTCAACCTGTTTATATATGAATGAGTGACTATTTGATTATAGCAACTGATATTTACCTGGTTTCTACGGATATTCATTGCGTAAAAGAGTAAACAACGGATTGCCACCATTCATAGACCTCATTCAAAAATTATCTTTTCCAAATTTTGTAAAACTTTGGAAGGCATTTAAAAATCGTTTGTCATATACCCAGACTTCTCTTACATTGTTTTTTTGTCTTTTGGATTACCCAACACTTATGGAAGTGAAGTAACAATTTTTAATGCCACTTTATTGTTTGCGCTAATCTGTTGGTGTATTTTGGTTTATATGAAAAAACTAAATTTTGAGTCTTTATCTTTCTGTGAAGGTGAGAATTTACAAAGACAGTCTCCAAACTTTTTTCTAAAATAACTGTAAGTTTTGAGAATACCCGTTAATTTCAGCTATTTCCTAAATAGCTTTTCTTGATATCAAATCTTTTTCTGCTTAAGAGGAACGCGACCAGTCTGCATACCAGAAAAAGCAATCTCTCCATTTTTTGTTGTGGACACTGGTAGGAGCTGAGAGGGATACACCTGAAAGTGCTAGTATCCTTTCTGTATTCATCGATTCTAAACCCTCATCGGCGTTTTTAATATCTAGAACATCAAGGAATGATAGCTCTTAGATTTTTTCACTCCTATTTGTGTCGAAAATAGCTTATAGATACATGAACACATTAGCCATGAAAAGAGAAAACAACTTCCAGCGAATTGGTAGCAATTCTGTTCCATGCTACTAATTTGTATGAGCTGGATATACTTCTTGATTAATTTACCACATAGTTCACTTATTTCTAGAACATCCTTCATACTAGAATCTCACCATTTCGTGATCCATCTTTGATTTTTTCGATTATTTCTTAGGAATTCGAATTGTTTTGTTAGCTACTTGGCAATCTTATACGTAGCGGAATGTATGTCTGATATTATTGGTCAAACCTACTTGTCTGACTTGTGAATTTTTGGTACTTTTGGATTGAAAACTTCTGCTCAAAGCCGCTGTGACTGAGTGTCTATTTCTTGAGAGTAATTTTATCTTTTGAAATCTTTTTAGGTAGTATGTTTGCTGAAATTTCATCAATTCTATCACAGTAGAGTCTGTTTTGACCATGAGGAGAGGCCAAACCAGATTGCAAATCTTTTTTGATAAAGGAAGAATACTAGCATTTTCAGATATATCCCTGTCAGTCTCAACCATTGTCCACACTAAAATTTAGGGGATGTCTTCGTAAATCCTTATTTCTTCAGAAAAATAACAGTCTGGATTTTACAGAATAATTTGCGAGCATTTCAATAAAAAATATTTTTTGGCCAGATTCACATAAAAGTTCTATGTTAGTTATAAAATTAAGTTCTAGACATTTTCTGATGATGCTAACTTGTTATCTATACGCATGTCAAGAGGTGGTATTTTTGTTCTGATGTAGGAAAAGTGTATTCAATAAGATAAACTGGTTGAGGCTTTAGCGGCCGGGATTTTCAGTGTTGCTATCTTCATTCGGGTTTGAAGGCCTTCGTAGTATGGAACTGCATCTTAACATTTCACCAGCAGGCGTTGCTGGCTTCTTCAGAGGTTTATTAATCTTGATGATTCACCGATGACTGAGTCATCGGTGTCCTGCTAACAATTTCTAGTATAGTCTTTCAAACCTCAAAAAAAAAATATTATTCGGTGATGAACGTAAGCTGTAAAAATTAGTCTCCGTGATCTGCAGTTCAGTTCTGAAAATGTTTAGGGGTAGAAAGAGCAACAACTTTGCCATTGGAACTACGTTGACCCCTTCATTTACTTAGGACCTACCAGTATATCAAATCATAAATTTATACAATTCATATGTTCATTTCTGATATTTAATTAATTATTATCTGCTTCTATAGTTGAATCAACCATTATACTTTATTTTTATAGCCTAACTCGTATTGATGAGTGGGTCTGATGGTATGACCATCTGGGTTTATTTCTTTGAGAGTCTGGAAATTGCAGTATTTTCGATCAGTAATTGTGACAATTGAAACAATAACAATCTGTTTGGATATTGAATATTTATAGAAACGCATCCATGCATGCATCTTTTTATATCCTTTGCTGAATTGCACGTTTCCATAGTTGAGATCAGTTACTTCTTGAAGAAACTTTTAGAGCGTCTATCCACTGAGATATTGAAAATCGATATTTTCTTGAGAGGTTCTTTCTGCCAACTAACTGATAATACTTTTATAGAGGAATGATACATCATCTAAACTTTCTGTAATGGTTTGGATATATGGCGGAGGATTTTTAACAGGAAGCTCCAATTACAAATCATTCAGTCCTGACTATTTTCTGAATGAAGATGTTATATTTGTGTCTTTAAATTATCGACTCGGGATTTTTGGTGAGTACTGGTATTTTGAAATCTGTTCATAATAAAAATACTCCCCAAGTTATGTGAACCCACTCTCTTGTATTGCGACAAGTACATTAAATTATCAACGTAGCTTTTCATAATGATAATTCTTTGAAAAATATATCTTATGTTGACAAAACAATTTCATTTTAGGATTTTTCTCTACTGGAGATGAAGCAGCATACGGAAATTGGGGACTGAAGGATCAAATTTTAGGTCTTAAATGGATTCAGGAGAATATTGAGAATTTTGGTGGGGACAAAAATAATGTTACTGTTTTTGGGCACAGTGCAGGAAGTGCTTCCATTTCTTATTTGTTGCAGAGTCCATTGGCTGCAAGTAAGTTCATTATTAGTATCCATCATTCATACATGTTGATTTTTGAGCTTGGTTCGCTACACATCGAAACGCTTGTGAAAATAATTCACTGTATTACCCACTTCATTCCAGTTAAGATTTTTACCGTTCTGAAGCATTCTGATATGATTTTTAGATTAGAGAGTAATGTGGGCATATTTCAACTCCTATAATCAGAAGAACTATTTTCATAGAGTGGTCTGGCTAGAGTCTGCGATGTTCGAATATATTGCATCCGTTTTCCCTCTTCTTTTCGAAAGAGGTCTGCATCACCCGTAGCAAAAAACTCCATGAAGAATATCACTTCACTCTGATGGGACTAAATACATCAGGCTCATTAACTTGTTTTTTCGTGAAGGTAGAGAATGAGGGTTTCCAATAAATTCAACATCCTCCAGTCTCCACAACGGATTCAGTGTCTCCCGGAACATAAAAGCAACTCCGGTAGACATGATATTAATATTATCGCTATTATCATCATTATATGAGAATTATTATGTGACTGAAACGAATGATACTTTAGCTTATTTTTCAATAATGTTTTCTCTTTCATAGATCTCTTTCAGAGAGCAATCATGCAAAGTGGTACTTCCTTGAATTTATGGGGATTCACTAGGAAACCTAGAGATGTTGCCTTTACATTGGGCTCTTACCTTCAAATATATACCAATGATAGTGAAATACTTACAGAGAAACTGAGAGAACAGGATGCAGACACCCTATCAATGGCAACAATAGCAATAAGCTTTATGGTAATGTTTTCTCTTATTTCCTATTATACATACCAACAAAACTGAGGATAATTTATATCTGCTTTGTGATGATGTCTTCCATAATAAATCGAACAACACCAAATTATTCTTTCGGCGTTAGTGACATGATTTTACATTTCTTCAACATTCAATTATTCTTTCTCATACATCAGACGATCTCAAGAGTAAAATTGCATTTGCAGTGCATGACTTTGAAAAATTCATTCTGGTAAAATATAACCTCAAACTGAATGAAAAATTGGGTAAGAAATGTCTTGTTAACCACAAATTCTCTTGTAATAGATATAAGAAATAGGTTTTTATCAATCCTTGAACTTTGTTTCTAGGTCTTTTTGTTGCTTTTCATACATATTGTAGAAAAGTAGTCACAATATTTGACCAAAATCACCGTAGAAAAAGTCTACATCATTTATTGTATGTTTTTGAAATTTCAATGAACAGCTTCTTCTCTTTATGGATTTTGGAGTAACCAAAAAATAACAGAGAAGATAGACTTCAACTGAACGACCCCAACTGTCCTTTTTGTAACATCGGATCAAGTGCAATGGCTTTCCATTTCTCAAACTCTTGATCCTATGTATGAAATATCCTATGAATCTGTCTTACACCAAATTCCTTAGCAGCCAAAGCAGGGTCTGCGACAGGGGAAACAATCTTTTCTTGAGCCGGCCAGTAAATTTAGGATATTCCATTCTAAATTCTAACGATACACATTCCGATCCGGATGGCTTTTTGGTGGCTGTAGTTAGTACCGTGCAGCGATAGGAAGATGCCTCCCTAAAATACGTAACAAGGGATCTATTTCCCAAGCTACACAATTGAAGACTGACAGCAGATAAAAGATGTTCTTGATTAGTAGGACCAGTAGCAGAAACAGATATTTCCTTGTGAAGAATAGTTAACAATAGGATTGACAGTTCATGGTACAATTCAAAACGTTTCCTTACTCTTTTCTCAACCGAGGGCAAGACAGCGTTATATATGTGCCCAGTTGGAACGACTAGCTCAGGATCTCCGGAGGCAAGGACGTGGAAGTCATATTCATTTCAAGCAGGTTGGAGCCCAGCTCCCTTACCCTTAGGACTGATGACAATTACTGAAAAGGATTACCAAATTGAAGTTTTGAACGCCATCTACAGAAGTTTATAGAAATACTGAACCATTTTTCAACACTTGTAACTTTAGACTGTGACTGAAAAAAAGAAGAAGAGTTCTAGTTGACGTTTATTTGCATACCTAACCATAACATGGATACAAAAAATCAAAACAAACTATACTTAGAAATACACTCATTTTGCAAATTGTTCTTAGATTTACGTTAATCGTTGATGATACCAAACGTTAATCGAGAACACTAGATTGACGAAAATGTACCGTGGCCTGTCAATCCTGGATACTTCAGGTTCTGTTAGGAGACCACTTACTCTATACCTCCCTTACCGCGGATCTCTATAGTCTCACTCCTGCCAGCTGACCTGAGAGATCTTTCAAGGAATACATCATCGACTTCAAGAGATTGGATAGGTGCGAACCACAATAAACCCTCGCGGGTGGGGGTGGAGGGTTGGATAGACTCTCTCACTTTGGACTTACCCATATACCTTACTAGATGGAAAATTGAGGAGCAAAATGTGTTGTTAACAACATTTCTTGTGGTAGGTATTAGAGATGGATTATATTTCCAATCTTGTTTAGGGGTGATAAATCGTACTGGAACCTCTGGCGTAAAATAAATCTATTGAAAACAATTCCCCCAGAACTGGTCATAATGATCTCGTAAGGACGCTAACTTGGTTAGCGAAACGCGCCTCGAGAGACTGTAATTATTGTGTTTCAAATAGATTTGTTTAGAGGTGTTTTTGTTGCTTTCCATATGAATAGACTCCTGAAATTTTAGGAGATACGTTTTAAAAATGGCAGTATAACTTTTATAGTCCTAGAGTATAGTTCCATTCCTTCGATTGTAGGTGATGCAAGTGAAAAATCTTGGAAAAGAAAAAATTCACGAATTAGGGGTAATTCAACAAAAGCTCTTGTGAACCTTTCATAAATTGAGATACTGATTACTAGTGTCGATCTTTTTCAAGCAATAGATACACACAAAAATAACGAGGAAAAAAATAGAAAAAATTCTCATTACAAGAAAAGTGACCTCTATTGTTGCAAAGGTAATGAATTCCTGTACGATTTTCATAAAACTAATTTTTTGCATCAAAAAGTTATTTGGTTGAGTAGTTAAACGTAGGATCAACCGTATAAGAATAAATGACCTTGATCATGTTTCTTATTTTAATTTCACATTTTTTGTTTAGGAAAGATCGTAATTGTGATAATTTTTCCACGATATTCATGAGCAACACCTACAACTGACGGAACAAGACTGAAATTTATTTTTTACTACAGAAATACTAAAATCATATATTTTTGAGAGGTGTTATATGACCCACTATATTTCAACTATTTGACTGTTGGAACCTTTGGTTGTAGTAATGAATATTACTGGAATATTTTCCCAACAACAAATCGTCGACACGTGTTTCGATCACCTAGTGATTATCTTCAAGAGGAAGATTAAACTGTTTAATTTCCCCTTGAAGATGAATAACGGTTCACATGAGAACATCACTAGATTAGAATAGATAGCTATATAAGATACGATTTTCAAGGGCACTCAAGATTTTTATCGAAATCTCATTAAAGTGAGAATCGCAAAATACTACAAAATTATAACAATTTTTCGAATTCCAATAGATAACATGGACAGTGACTGAGATGGTGTTCAAAGTATTTTTTCCTCTATTTCACATATTGTCGGAGCGAAGTTTGTCTCAATGTGTTTCAATTGCGAAATGACTATATAACTCAATGATTTACAGGGACCCCTCCTAACAAACCCTTTTGGCGGATTGATGTTTGCACCATGCGAGGAACCAAATCACGAAGGTGCCCTATTTAATGGCAAAAGTCATGAGAATTTACGAACTGGAAACTTTAATAGAGTACCCGTTATAATTGGTTTCACATCACAAGAAGGATTGCCGTTCTATAACAGTAAGTTAGCTGACAAAATGGTTTAGACTTTCACGGCTGAGGTTTTCAGTGTCATTGCTTTTCGAGTTTGAAAGCCGTGGATTTTTGGAATTTCTTCTTCGTGAAGCGTATATATGCCTTGTGTACGAAGCCTAAAAGGTAGTCATCGGACAGCAAACCATGATGGTTAAACCTCTGAAGAAGCTAGCCACTCGCGCCAGCGAAACGTCAGGAAGAAATTCCAAAAATCCACGGCTTTCAAACTCGAAAAGCAACGACACTGAGTAAGTTAGTTTCTCAATGTCATCAAACTATAAGTCGGAGTTTTTGGAATAAAAAATAGAAATATAATAGACAGTTAAGGAGAAGATCAATTGTATAATGTGCCACCAAAGAATGTTGGCTTTGACATTGGAGGTTTTGTACAACTTTTGATATAAACCATATATAGTAGTAGGCCTATGAGGATTCTGGGCCATTTCAAGGCCATCTGAGGTCGTCTAAAATCCGCGAATGGTTTTGAGCCTGGAATCTGCATACGATTTAGTAGGATGCGCCGGCCCCCTGTGAATACGGGATATTGAAGATGGGCCTGACAATAAATGCCTGTCGAGGTCTTGTTGTTATTGGTTGTTGTGTGTTGAGGGCTTGGGCCTGAAAAAAATGGCTATTGTAGATGAGAGGTGTGCTGGTCGTGTTGCTAGTGGTTGTTGTGTCTGTGAAAGATGGCAGCGGTCGTATATGGACGCATGGCTCATCGAGGCGTCCTGTTTGGCTGTTATGTGAAACAAACATGTTTGGGAGTTTTCAAGTGCGGGGGATCATAATCCTTTGTCCAACAATGCGCGCGCTCATGTTCGTTCTTGGAAGAAGATTGCAATGTGTTTGCTTCGAGGGTTTTCTTGGAATGTCGTGGGGCATTATTCGCTTCGTTCGTGGAAAAGTTTGTTGATTGAGGAATTGACCTTTGGCGATAGTTTGGAAGGCGGCCGCAGATTCACTTAGATGGCGTTGCGAGTGAACGCTCTGTATGTGCGGGTGTTGTCGCGTTTTGGTAGTTCGGAACGCAACGGCTCGAAAAAATTTAGCGCCAAGTGATGTACGTGTGTGAGGGTTATTAGTTGGTAGGGGAGATCACTGACAAAATGCCTTCCGATGAATATAGACGTAAACGAGAAGAATTCTTAGCCAAATTACAGCTTTTGCGGAAGAAATGGTTATTTATGAACAGTTCTCAAATCTTTCTATATTTCCGTCACAAACGAACCGGGGTAATGGCCTCTCACGTAATCGTATTCATTTTGGTGTCCATTCTGAACAATATTTTGTTCATCAACACATCCGACTAACGATCCGAATAACATCCGACAGGCAGCAGTCTGTTTTGGAGATTCTAATAGAGATCAGTTCACGACTTGAATTGAAATGAAAAGCACGATTTGCAGTTTTTTACCAGCTTGGGAAAAGATTTAGCAGAATCTTCAACTTCAGTTGTTTTGAAGACTACATCTACTAATTACATGGACATCATTTATGTGAATTCCACTTCGAGATGGGATAAACTACCGAGTCTACCACCGACTCTCAGAATGGCATGTAATGATTTTTACTGAAATAAAAAAAAATGTAAAGACAAATTTCGTATTCTCATCATGTAATCTGTGACTACAAAATGCTATCCCAAGTTTTTTGCATTTTTCTACTCTCTTCTGTCTTCTATGTCTTTTTTTGCCTATTTCGACTTCGATATTATTTTCTAATCAATCTTTATTTTTAAATTGTCACACAGGATGTCCAGAATTTACGTTCTCGGTTATATTTACATTTTCATTTTTCCGTTTTAACAATGGCGACCAAAATATGACCTAAACTGGTCGAAATACTGCCTTTTTCTGCCTTCTTCTGCTTTTTTCTGCCTTCTTCGGCCTTTTCTGTTTTCCCCTGCATTTTTCTGTGTTTTACCAAATTAAATATTGTTTCCTAATCAATCTTCATTATCAAATTGACACACAGAACAATGGCCTTTGGAAGTGAAGTTTTTGTATACATATTGAAAAAAAATAAACAAATCAATTGAAAAAGCAATATTATTTCAGTTGGATAGTTGAATAATGATTATTGGAGATATAAAATTGTTTGAGGAATTATACAGATACTTTGATTTACTCTCAATCAAAATTTACGGAAACCACATGTATCCAAAACAGATACTATTCTCAAACACCAGAACTGCGACACACTTTTCGACTCGCGTTTCAGCTATAGAGTGAGGCGGCCATTAGTGATAGTTTCAGTGAAGAATTGCATTTTTTAGGTGATATATGGATATTTCTGTATTTTGGGTTACCCTACCTGAAATGATAATGAACTGAACTCGATGGTGAATCCCTTTATGTTTAAAATTTTGAATAAATGTTTTTTTTTTATTTTAGTTTTTGACAGAATAAGGCTGTATCTGCTGATATACGATTTTATGCCCAATAGAATGGTTCCTATAGATTTGAATATAATTGACACAGCCCGTTTCATTAATATAACGAGAGATTTGAAAACCAAATACTTTCCAAATACTCAGGTCGTTTTCAACAACTATAGTCTTGTACAGGTAGGTTCAATCAGCGGTATAAATTTCAGTAAAAAAGCTGGTGAATGCTCTTGTTGTGACTGATATGCTAATATTATATCTGAAAGGCACTAAAGACTCTTCGATATCTACAAACTTCTTCATTGGTAATAAAATATTTTTCCTCATAGCATTATTCATGTCTAGATCAAGTTTCATATTGGATTTTTTACACAGGTAAATCTCGCGACAAGCATTTATATCATATAAATTGTTTAATCTAATGAACTGAAGGGTTTGATTCAATTTGAAGTTTATTTAATAGATTTTTGTGTCATCCATCTGGTGACTTGAAATGTTCAAACTTATCCCATACACTCCATTATTTCAATAGTACTAATTTTTAGCAGATCTGGGATTTTTCCAGTCTGAAGCTAAGTGTTGATAAGATTCAATATGGCATGTCCAGCAGTTTCAATAATTTGTTTCAAAATTTTGGCATTTAGGATTTCATATGTGTTACATTTATTATCTAGTGAAGCAACTATATTACGTAATTATCAAAAGGAGACCATTTTTAATTTAGTTATAGGCAAGTAAATGTTAGAATCGCAATGCTCTCGATTACCTGGTTGATACTATTAACAAAATAATTGTTGAAGTGTTCTACCAAGGACATCTCTTCCTCAACAATGTACGGGTTTCCATCATAATCAGTTATCCTCACGAAAATAATGAGTTTCCCAAAAGATTGACAGATAACAAAGAGTTTTTTTTGTAGCAGCCCTACCAATCCGACTGCAACCTCACAAAATAAATCGATTTATATTAAAGCCACTCACGAATTCCCCTGTATTTATATAGATAGATATAAATATAAATGTTATCGAGTGTGTAAAGTCTTAATGAAAAAGAGGAGAATGTGCGGACAGAATGAATGAGAGGATGAAACAAAAGTGATTTTCAAATTAATTAATTATTTTATTTTCAGTTTATTACGGATGACCAATTTGTCAGACCAATCAATGAAGCAGCTAGATTGATGTCTAAATGGGTTCCAACTTACCTCTATAGGTTTTCTTACATGAACAAGTCAAAATTTACAAACGATTCGGATTTGTTGGGAAGAGGTGAGAAAAAATATTGTTTGGTACTTAAATATCTTACGTTTTTTTTTCTGTCGAAACACCACATTTGATCATCAGTTTCTTCAAAAACGAATTATTTCAAATTTTAGGAGTACCTCATGGAGGGGAGCTAGAGTATTTGAACCCCCTTTCAAATAATCCGAATCAGTCAGGCTTGGACCTATTAACACGCCAACGACTCGTAAAATTATGGACCAATTTTGCAAAAACTTCGTGAGTATTATTAATACAGATATCTTTCTGGATGCTATTTTTTGAAATATCACTTGCGGGTCTGATTATTGTAGTATTTCACTAGATGACTGCTGCTTGTTTGTACTTTGGTACATTGTTCATTGTTATGTTTATAATTCCAGAAATGAAAATCAGTGATTTTAGTTGAGTTTTCTTAAATTTTTTGAAGTTTGAGCCAAATGATATTGCCTTTTAAAATGTGCTTTTTCTATATGGCGTTGCGAGTGAACGCTCTGTATGTGCGGGTGTTGTCGCGTTTTGGTAGTTCGGAACGCAACGGCTCGAAAAAATTTAGCGCCAAGTGATGTACGTGTGTGAGGGTTATTAGTTGGTAGGGGAGATCACTGACAAAATGCCTTCCGTAGTAAATGTATGTTTTGAAATCACTCTGTAGTTTGGAACTATAAGAATAGTCAATTTTTCAAACAAAAAAATCATGACTTATTTTTTTTGATACAGAAATCCAACGCCATGTTCAGAACCACTTTTTGAGGACCTGATTTGGAAACCCTACTCTGAGGATGATCAATTTTTGGATATAGGAAGATCCTTCAACTTATCGTCAAATATGGAATATTATAGCCAGTCTTGGTGGAAAGTGTTATTTAATAAATATGGGAATCCGCCGTTTGATACATATTAGAAAATGTTCGTAATGTGATAATTTTATTCTCTATATATTTATATAATGAATAGTTTGAGAGGGAAATTTGATTTGGTTGACTTGTCTGCCAACTCTGATACATTTGAATATCAAAAATAAGAAAGAACTCTTGTGAAACTTCATTCAATAAAAATAGTGTGAATGAAGCATTTCACTTATATTAAAAAAAATACTCTCTTGGAAGGGAAAGTCTTGCAAATGATTTCGTTAAACCAGAACCTAAGTAGGTATCACAAGTTTTACCAAACACTGAATATCTGGATTTCAAGAAGAGTTCTTCTAGTGAGATATACCAAGAATGGCCAACTGCAAGGCATTTATATTTACCTCCTTCTAATTATGCCACTAAACGATTGCTATATTACAGCAATTATGACCTACGTTGACTACCAAGGACTATCTGTACAGTGTGTCCCACTTTTCATGAAAGCACCCCCATCTGTTCAAAATCTGTTTTTCCGTTAATCAGCTGTCGCTCCATACGAACGACAACTCTCAGAAGTTGAGAAACTTGTGCGAGCTAAGGACTAACGAGGTCTTACCTTTTAACGTGTGATTCCTAACACATAACTTCCTTAATTATCAAGGTACAATGATGAAACTCGCAGGATTGACAAAAATGCTGAAAATACACTTACTGGCTGAATCGTATTGGCCAAAGTGATATACACTGCCCGCCAGTCACGATGAAAGAACCCGTTTTTATGGTAAATCATACTAGGGGGTAAAATATACTGAAAATTGCTTCAGATTCGTGATTGGTTCACCCAAATTACTACAGGCACACCTTTTTTCTGAAAAGATTTCAGCCCTGAAAAATACAAATTTGTCTCACTTTTCATGGAAGCAACCCCGTAACTTCCGTAATCATCAAGGACTGATGGGAATATTGAAAATTCAATTACCGGCTCAATAGTGTTGACCCAAGTTCTATACACCGACCGCCAGTCGCAATGGAAATGCCGGCAAAAAACTTAAAAATAAAATTCTACACCAATCAGAAATCTCAATTTTTTTATATAAAATTGAATTTATTTCTAACCTGACGTTTCGTACATTAACATGAATTCGTTCATATAAGTGAGATGATTTTAATTCTAAAAAGTCATTGGGATAATTACATAAGTTACGGGGGTGCTTCCATGGAAAGTGAGACAAATTTGGATTTTTCAGGGCTGAAATGTTTTCAGGAAAAAGGTGTACCTACCTGAAATAATTTGGGGGTTCTGATCACGAATCTGANCCATTGTTTCCAGAGTACCTAGAATTTCTGTCTTTGTGAATGGGGATGTATCGAAGGGATACTGACTAACAGTATTCTTCGAATAGGTACAGGGAAGTAATACATTTTGACCAAAGTGCTCTGAGATGAGCAATTCGGCAGAAGATGAAAAATGTTCAACGAAAAGATTTGAAATTTCTTGTGGATTGTTAATTTCCTCCTTTAATTCATTTTTTAGAGTAATAGGTTTGTTTCCAAGTGCCCTTTTTTTATTTCCCAATTCATTATTTATTATTTTCCAAACTTGTTTAGTTTTGTTACTGGATTTCCTGATTTTTGAATCGTAATAGTGACTTTTTTCTTTTTTTATATTTAATTTGTGTTCTTTAATTTTTTGTTTATACAATTGCATAGCTTGATGGTCCACATTACAGTTAGTGGAAATTAACCAAAACAAATCTCTTAAGGCTTTGCTCTCTTTGACTGAATCATTTGAGATCCATAAGTTTGATTTATTTTCCCTAGGCCTAGTTCTTTTAAAAGGACAAGAAACATCATAACACCAGGAAATTTGTTCAGCCTATTTCCCCCCTCTAGTATGAATTACCGTAAATAATGGGTTCTTCCATCGTGAATGGCGGGCAGTGTATATCACTTATAAGGAAGTTACGGGGGCGCTTCCATGAAAAGTGAGACACACTGTAGATGATGGAATTGGCACATACTTGATGAAAATCTATAACAAACGTATTCATGAGGAGGAAGTGGAGCTTTTTAGACTCTGATTTGGGTGAGTCATTGTTTGTAAAAGTTTGTTTTTTTTCTTGATGCAGATTTTGCTTGTGTTGCTCAAAAATTGGGTTTGAAGCAGATTTATTAGATAATATGGCTCTGAGGAGTTGCTTTCTGACTGCACCAGCTAGCCTCCAGGTTTGTTAGAAGTATCAACAGTGAGAGATCTGAGAAGCTCTTGTTCTTGATCCAATGTATGATGGAAGGGTCGGACATTCGTCTCATTTATAGAGTTAGAGATGAATTATTTGGCTACTAATATGGTTCATGAAGAACTAGAGAAAGGGGGCTCATTACAACAGAAGACAATATCACCATGACACTGAATGATTTCAGAGTCTTACTTCTTTTCGACGGAGAAACACACATCTTGGTATGAGCCGTCATTTAGAAAAATTCTCACCTCTGGGGGTGTCACTTCACCCAGCAGGGTTCCAACGCCACCCGTTGCAGGGGGGCGTTATGTTATGAACGTAGAGGCGAAAGTATGTTATGAATGTAGAGGCGAAACTATATTTTTCCTAGAACTCTACGTTGAATAGCATATAGAGTTATCAATTTTTAAAGAATTCTGTATATTGAGACATTGAGTCGTTATGTTTTGTTTACTGACACAAAGTAAGGTCAAAACATCAACTCTAAATTCCCTTGCCATCAAAAACTGTCAACTATTCTAGCATTTATTATGCTTCAAACGCAATTTTCACAGATTCTAAAAAAATAAAAATGTGGTATATGATAACCAATATCATATTTCAACTATAGCTCGAACTGAATGTACAACACTATAGAACACTTGGAAATTGTCATATGGCATTTTGGGTAAAGTGATTATTGTTATATCTCGAAGACTTAGCCGGTTGAAACTTCGAGATATAATCTTGTTCCTTGCAGTTAACGCACATACCACTGATAATATCTACCGCAGTAGGAGACGAAACGTTTTGTACTTCAAATTCCATTCATTCATGGCCTATTAGCCTAGATTTCGTTCACTCTTATCATTTTACAATATTATATAAATTTTACGATCATTATCTGAAAAACATAATCGATCGAAACATGAAAGTCCAAACTTTTCCGTTATTTGAAAAATACATATCTAAAATTGGATCTTTATTCTATGCTTCACATGATCCAGTTAACACAGATAGTGAAATCAGGTGCTTCTGAAAATGGGATACATGTAAACATATTTTCTGTGTATTAAAAATTAACACGTTACTTTCATGGAAATGATAGCATATCTGGTGAAGTAGCTTTAAATTTGAATCTTAAACAATTTTATCTGTAGTATTGCGTTAATAATATAAAAATATTTTTCGGAAATGGAAAACATATTCAATAACAGTTCATTAAAATTGATAAATTGATTAACAGAGGTGTACACCAACTTGTTTTACTTCAAAAAATATTTTTCTTCAATTTGTTTTCCTCTCTACTAATAAATCATCAAACCTTAAGCCATGAAAGTTTACACGAACCGAAGAAACCTTTGAAGAATATCACAAAAACTGACTTTCGTTCAATCATCCAAGATGTATTGAGGAAGATCAGAAAAAAATAAGGTGCCGAATTATAGGATGAAAAGAATAATGTAATAGGTGATTCAGGGAGATGGTGATTGATGTATTAGTAGTAATATTGATATCAGATGACGGTCTGAATTCTCATAAATGAAATGTTTCCGTTCAGATCTGTTTATTTATTTATATAACTTCGCGAAAAAAGGAAACATACGAAACAGTTGCTCACCTCCTGTACTGACTTTTATCAACTGACCTGATTTTAATTATATTTTCATGAATAATAATTTTGTATTTAATTTGGGAATCCAATCAAAACCACAACGAATAAATAAAGTTATGAAAATTTCCATTGTCAATTGAGAATGATGTTCATAAACTTACTTGTCCCATTTTTAAATATTTTGTTATTCGACAATGTTGCTGCAACAGAGGTAAGTGGTGTAACTGAATATGTATGAAACATGTTTGATTAATGACTTATTCTTCGCTCCACAGTAAATAACTGTAAAGTTTCCAGCATCAATGATATAGGAGTTGACCTACTACATCGCAATACTATTCTTTTTGCTCGATTTTGTAGCTTTTGTAATTGGGATAATTTATTCAGATCAAAGCAGTATAGTAATGCAGGGCAATATTCAAAATGAGGTTGATTGATAGTGTTATACACGGTTATTCTGGAATTCAGACTTAAGTTTTGGGACACTATAGAAAAGAAATATAGTTTTTTCAAGATTTTTTTTGATATATTCAAAGTGGCTTTATTCAATATATAAAAATCTTTCATCAGTTAGTAGTATTTCATGAATGTAAAAATTTTGTTTACAACACAATAATAGGAATAAAATTGAAAAAATGTAATGAATTCATACAAATTATGAGAAGTAACCTACTGAGACTCATGGCTACAGGAACCTGGAATTTTTCTTTTGGATATAAAGTTCATCGATGAAAACATGCAGACTAAATATCAACTTTCGCCCTTCAATGAAATTACTAATATTTTAAGATTTTCTGGAGTCTCATGTGCAAATTATAAATATGTTGTATGTTACTATTACCTCTTTTTCCTCTTTATCATTCAGATGAGGAGGACACCTGAATGAAAAACGGTCCTATATGGGAGACCTTGATATTGTATCACAGAAGACAAGCAATTTATGGACAACCCAGTTATTCAAAGGAATATGACATGCAATCGATAAACGAGAATAAGATTGAAGAAATATAAATTTAAAAAAAATCTAAGAATGTAAGATGTAAACGACCGGAGATAACTGTGTCGAAGCTTTTTTACTGGTTTTTTGGCCGTGGTCTGCACGTTTATATGTCTGACGTTTCGTCTACTAGTGCGTCCACTACTACTACACTTGTGTAATAAGGGAAACTGTCAGCTCTAGTCGAAAATGCTCTCATTACCTCATTCATAAATACTCGATAAAACTCAAAACTATAAATATATGGAAAGGCAATATAAATTCAGAAACACAGGGATAATTTCAATAGATAGGAAGAGGCAATAAACATTAGTAAAATTTGGCTACCTGTCCCTAATTGTACACAAACAAGTTCAAGTAATCCACCATTGATAATATTGAATCGGAGACAAATTCCAGCATTGTAGTTCATGCGTTGGGAACTCAAGCTCTTCCACAGTTACCTCATAGCATTTGATAATGTCTACCGCAGTAGTAGACGAAACCTCAGATATAAAAACCTGCAGACTATTGCCGAAAAAAAACGAGAAATAGCTTTGAGACAAAAAATCTGTTTTACTGTGAACTGTGAACCAGTTGACCTCAAAGCTAATCGAGATAACTGAGGCTGATATCAAAGGTACGTGTTGGACATATCGTGCACGAATATTTTGGTATACGAAAGCTCTGTTGGAAGTGAGTGCCGCACAAGCTCACAATCGAACAAAAACAACCACGAATTGATGATCAGCGTTTGAAGCTGTTCCACCATAATTTGATATGTGATAATGGATGAAACATGGCTCCATTATTTCACATCAGAATCAAAACGATCGCCATCTGAGTGAACTGCACGTGGTGAACCAACTCCAAAGCGTGCAAAGATGCAACAATCGGTTGGCAAGGTTATGGTATCAGTATGTTGGGATACACATGGTATAATTTTCATCGACCATCTTGAATAGGAAACGACCATCAGCAGCGACTATTACATGGCGCTTGAAGGATGAAATCACGTAAAAACGGTCCTATTTAGAGATAAAGAAAGTGCTATTTCATCAAAACAATACACCGTTTCACAAATCAATGAAAACAATGGCAAAATTGCATAAATTGGGCTTCGAACTGCTGACGCATCCACCGTATTCTCCAGATCTGGTACCCAGCGACTTTTTTCTGGTCTCCTATCTCAAGAGAATGCTCGCTAGAACGGAATTAAGCGCCGATCAAGTGTCGAAAAATTGTGTGACTGCTATAATCGTTGTATCGCACTGGAAGGCAACTATATTGAACGATAAAATCAAATTTTATCAATTTTTTTTATGTTAGTTTACGAACTTTTCACCCCAACTGCATGTTCCATTCAAATTGCAATTGAGCTATGCACGAGAAATCAACGAAAAGACTGTTGGTTGAAAAATATATAATCGTTATACTCAATTATTCAAATAGTTATCGCTAATTGTATGGAACATTGATATCCCAGAACATTCATAGAACCAACTCAACTCAATGTGAAAAATTAAGGAGGCTTTTGTATCTATATGACGTAGAGTTATATCATGAAAAAAGTTCTTATTGGAAATGATATTTCAAAACGTATTGAAATTGGAATTAGTGAAAGAAATCATTTCTAGGAAAGATGGAATATTACAAGTTGTTCGTGCAAAAACTAGCTCAGGTCAATTAATGAGGCCGGTGCAGCAGTTGAGATAGGATGTCAAAACGAGGAAACAGAAAAATTATTCTAAAGATGAGGGAGTGAAGATATGCAGCGAATGCGTTCTTTATTAACAACTTTTTTTCTTTTGTACGTGGCTGAAATGGTCGAGACAAAAAGAATATTGAAAAGGCTTGTTTTTTGGTTCAGTTGAGTTTTGATTATCATCTTTCACTTCATTCTTTATATAGTCATTTTGTATGACAGATACTTACTCTGTATGACAGACACACACGATATTTTTTTTATTAAAGACAAAAAATAAGTGACACAGGCAACGCAATATGCATCCACAAGAACCTTCGATACCTAATTTTGATTACTATTGTTATTGTGGAACGCACATATTTCCTATTATTAAATGTGGAGTTATTACTTTGTAGTTGCCCTAAAATAAGTGGAGGATAAATATATTACGTTGAAATAATATCACATTTTCAAGGAAACGATGGTTGTCACTATAAAAAGCGGAAAAGTTTTGGGGAAAAAATTAACAACAGCTGATTTGAATGTTGACTTTTATGCTTTCCAAGGAATACCTTATGCCCAACCTCCATTAGGAAATCTAAGATTCAGGGTGAGTCCAAAATCAAGCGAATTCGCTTTCAGTACCTACCTTCAACAGAGAATCACCAATATTGATTTTATCGAATTGGAATATCAATAATTTCTTCAATATTATAGAGTTTGAATATTTTCAGCCTCCGATTCCTGTTGGTCAATGGAGCGGCATTCTGAACACAACCGAAGATAAACCACAATGTATTCAGAATTTAGGAGATGGATCTGAAGATTGTTTATTCATCAACGTTTTCTCTCCAACGGTAAGAGATTATTCTTGTTACATAAAATACTCAGTTGAATATACAGAACGTTACAATGAAAACTTGACCCCTTCCTGCAAGTCAAAAACGAATGTGATCAAAAATAAAAAAAAGGTCATCAATTTCTATTTCTATGGGGACCAATTTCGATTTGAGATTCATACACGAACCTTCACCCCCTTGCGGTTAGCAGCTACCCCCATATTTTTTCAATGATATGGGAGGTCGAGTGATACATCATTTGACCGGTCCTTGGTTCCTCTATTACCTCAGTGAGTTTTTTTGAAACTGGTTCATAAATGTTGAATGTCTATTTGAAACAGAAAATGCGCTGTCATTTCTTTTATTATTGAGTAAATCAACAACAAACAATATATATCAATGGCAATAAAATCAACGGTTACATTTCTCAAAATGTTCTCCACCTAGGTCCATACAATGGAAAGGTTTTCTCATGTAATATATCTCCACAAGAAATTGAAAAGTTGAAAACAACAGCATTTAAAAAAACATTACACAATTGGATATTAGATAATAGTGAAAAAATTGAAAATGTGCTCACATTGAAATAGTTCAATTCAACAAATAATTTATTTCACCCTCATTCATAATAAAATACTATTATTGATACATTTCTCCTTTTCTATATTGTTTCATGAACAATATCTATTAACAGTTAACATTATCTTTATTTTTCAACTAACCCAGTCAAACACAAGTGTTTACACTTAGCAGACTGTGTTAAAATATTATACATGTAATTGCAATTTTTTTAAATTTATAGACATTCATTTGATATTGTACATTTGTTAATAAATTTGAATTTGAATATTATTCGAGATATCCGGGGTCCACAATTTGCATTCCCGAACAATTTTCTGTCACAGCTCTTCTAGATTTGTGGGAGCGGTTCAGTGGAATGACCAGCTAAATCACCTGATCTCACAACATTTGATTTATTTTTGAAGTCGAAAGTTTACTCTACTAAGCGTACATCTCAAGAAGAGCTGCGACAGAAAATTGTTCAGGAACACCGATTTTTTTTTCTTATTGATATTGTATGTTTTTGATTTCCTCAATAAAATAATCGACAGTGTATTTTCTGTTTTTTCTAAAATAATACGTTCAACATTCAAGTTTTTGATAATAGATAAACCAATTTTGAAAAAACTTACAGAGGTAATAGAGGGACCAAAGATCTGTCAAATGATATATCAGTCGACCTACCATGCCATTGAAAAAAATGTGAGTGGTAGCTGCTGACCGTAACTGACCATACTTTGAATGTTACAGATTCACACAGCATCAGATATTAACTGGGTTCTGCCAGCAACTCCTTATGCCTAAATGAGATGAAAGATTTTTCTTCAGTATTCCCCATCAACAACCTCTCTCTTGAATTTCACTAGTTCGGATTTTCATTGTCTAATATAATACTAATATGATTTGAAATCTCTAAAAGACCAAATAAAATTAAAATGAATAGCTGAAATATCAATTATATTGACCGATAAAACGTGAAATAAAATTACAATGAAATAAAAATATTCAAAATTCACAAATAGAACAATTAAAATTGAAATTGAGAAGTTAAAAAATATTTCAAACCAAGTTACTTCACGACGTTTCGATTATTAGTATCTATAATCGTTTTCGGGTGATGACTGGACGCTTTCGAACGCTTTCACCTATTTCCTCTCTACGCTTCACCGGATTAGCGGGAGTTGACCCTTTTCCCCGCTAGCTTACATATTTCTATATGCTGCCTATTTCTTCGCTAGCGTGGCTGAATGTGTCGTTGGACATTGTATATGTAGCTTCTTTGAACTTCTTTTTGAACCAGTGTTCCCAGCCTAGGACCAAATGATGTTATATTGATGAGTCCAACCATGTTCTGCTATTCCCGATTTGCTGGTTTCTCCTTGCTGTGTGTTTCTCTTGTGCTCGGCAATGTTGACCACTTTCAAACAAACCTCTCTCTTTCTTCTCACCTTCTGAATGGGTCATTGATGCCTCCAGTACATTCTCAAAGTGCATAAGACACCCACGTCTTCCACCGATCTCCAAGACCTGATTCAAAACAAAGTCAACATCTGTATGGTACTTTTTGAAGTGAAATTAATCATTTAATTTTTATGATGTTGTTTGAAAAATACGAAAATGACAAAGAGTCGAATAAAGAAATGTATATTTCAAATATCAGCCTGGGGAGTAGTTGTTTTCTGATAGATGCCAGTACATAAACTTACTGTGTAGGTAAGTGAAAACTGACCTGAACGAATTGTTCCTTTAGATGACTTGATGTATAGCCAGATATGTGGTTGGTTGATACCTCGTCTACGGGCAGAGGAGGCGATGACAGATATGTTGCTTGTCGTTCACTTCAGCTTTGTTCGAGGTATGATACTCTGAAAAAATTTGATTTTTAATTATGGGAAGTTATCAACTTCGTGTTGATGACTTCTAACCTAACCTAACCTAACTTGCACTCATGAGAGGCCAAATAGCCTGAAACCGGTCTACAAATGTAAAAATCGATTCCGGTAGTTGTATTGCCAAAAGCATATGCAGGAATTTCTTCTGTGAAGAATCCCGCACTGATACCCGTTGGATACAATCCAACTCTCTTCGTGGTATTAGCCAGTGGATTAGTTGTTTTCTAATAGTTATCAGTTTAAAAACCTACTGTGTAGGTAAATGAAGACTGGCCTGAACGAACTGTTCCTTTATATGAATTTATTTCAAATACAGTTCTTTGTACTCATTTCAAAAAATTGGTACTATATGCAAACTAATGTTTTGATTTTTAGGTGTATTCGTTAGAACGCTTGCCAGTTTTCGTTTGGTTTTTTGGTGGTTACTTCATATCTGGAGATTCAACTCGTTCTAGTTACGGACCAGACTATTTCTTGGAAGAAGGAGTAGTAGTTGTCACCTTCAACTATCGCCTGGGAGTATTCGGTAAGTCCTGGGTTCAAACAACTCTGGTTGAAAATGGAATGAATCTTTATTGAATATTCATATTTGTTTTTTTGTTTCATAATCATAACCGATCTGTAACTGAAACTATTAGCGGAATCTAATACAGTTGGAGGTGGTTCAACGCCCCCATAACTCACAGCATTGTCACATTCTAAACTTAGTAAATTTCATTGTTGGCAATAAGCTGACATGTTATTGAAATGTACAAAATACAAATGTGAATAGAATAGAATAGATGTTTTTTACCACTTTTATTTGTAACTAATGTTAGTGCAGTTTCGTCCTATAAAACTGCTTTTTAATCTTCCTCTTTGAAGATGATCACTTGGTGATCGAAACACGTGTCGAGGTGTTAAAAATAACGATTTGGTGTTGGGAAAAAACTCCAGTAATATTCACTGAGGGAATTAACCATCTTGTGCTACGTTGGCAAAAGTGCACAGATTCAAATGACGCTTATTTCGATTAAACTGAATAAGTATTCAGTGATATATTACAGTTCAAGTAGACTCATAATAACAGACAAACTTTTAAAGCAATATAATATTCGTACAACGAGATTTGATCGTATTTATCTGTTCTATCGATAATCATTATCATCTCTTTATCTCTTTATCTCTTGTGATGCACTGTTTGGAACCTTTGGTGTAGTAATGAATATTACTGGAGTTTTTTCCCAACACCAAATCGTTATTTTTAACACCTCGACACGTGTTTCGATCACCAAGTGATCATCTTCAAAGAGGAAGATTAAACTGATTTAATCTTTCTCTAAACACGTGATCTAAACACGTGTCGAGGTGTTAAAAATAACGATTTGGTGTTGAGAAAAAACTTCAGTAATATTCTTTATTTCTTGTTTAGATTTTTCTTGTTGTGGTATATAATGACTCACTACTTATGTTTTATCACCTAATTATTAGGATTTCTGAGTACTGAAGACGATGTAGCTCCGGGAAATTGGGCCTTGAAAGACCAAATTTTAGCCCTGAAATGGATTCAGGAGAATATTGAAGTATTCGGAGGAGACCCAAATTCAGTCACTCTGGCCGGAGAAAGCGCTGGAAGTGTTTGTATCTCATATTTGCTACAATGTCCATTGGCAAAAAGTGAGTCAAGTTAATCACATGAATTGATTTTTCCATTTATTTCAAAAAGTTTATTGCTTCTTTTTACGAATCAATTGCCAACGCTCATGTGAAATATAAACCATATTTTTAATCTACAGAAAATTATTTTTCCAAATGAGAATATTTTCAGATCTTTTTCACAGAGCTGTGCTCCAGAGTGGAACTTCTCTGAATTATCTAGCGCTATCCAGAAATCCCAGGGAAATAGCATTCGAAATAGGCAGACTCTTTGGAATTTTCACAAACGATTCGAAACACTTAGTAAATGAGTTGAGAAAAATAGATGAAGGAATGTTGCAATCATTTTCATTTGCCAAAAACCTTTTGGTAAGTTACGATTTCCTATAAAGACTTTTATCTAATCATAGCTTCAAATCAAAGGCCTGGATGTTGAAAACTTGTCTCTCAGAATTGTAAATTATAATAGTATTGAAGTGAAAAATGAGTTTCAGTCATGTCTGGATTCCATAAATTCAGTAGATGTGGGTGGACTCATGTCCTTCTACCAAAAGATGGTTTGCAAATGTGGAATTGGACTTTCCATTCAAGAAACTACTTCTATGGACTTTATTGCCATAGAAGTACCATGTACTTTTGCCAAGAATATTGTCGTATATTGAACAAAATGACCTATTCTGCAATAATCAACATGGTTTTAGGAAGAGTAAATCAATTGAATCTGCATCTTATCAACTATTGAACTATATTTATGCACAAGTGGATAATAATAACCTGGTTTTTTCGCTTTTTTTAGATCTATCTAAAGCATTCGATACTGTTTCTTCCAAATTTCTATTGAAAAAATTACTAGTAATGGGCTTTCCCAATAATGTGTTGTGTTGGATAGAATCGTACATGGAAAACCGTAGTTTGGTGGTTAAATGTAATGGAATTACATCAGTTCCTTATGATGTGAAACTAGGTGTTCCACAAGGGTCTGTTCTGGGTCCATTGTTATTCTTNATGGAGTCGATTATATCTACCTTGTAACCGTTGTTGACAGCGATTTAAAAATCTGTTTAAAATCTGTTTTTCCGTTAATCAGCTGTCACTTCCGTACGAACGACAACTCTCAGAAGCTGAGAAACTTGTGCGAGCTAAGGACTAACGAGGTCTTACCTTTTAACGTGTGATTCCTAACACGATTGCAGAATCATTCCAGCTTCAACCAGATAAATTCTCTCGAGAAAAATATCTGAAACTCGGCTTTTTCTGAAAATTACTTTCCGACAGTGGAATATTTAATAGTCTGAAACATACTATTGTATAAAGCTACTTCGTGCTAGTAGAGATGTGTGGAGGAATTATATATGGCAATGTCTCTATGAGAGGGTTTTTGGAAAATTGCAAAATTAGGTTTATTACTAATTTTCGTAACAGTCAAGTCCAGGTAATTTATTGAATTATTCACCTTACTTTTAGTGGCGAATTTCATTGACGGGTGAATGGAATTGGCATATTCGACAAACTTGCCTAATTGCCTTAGTTGTACCAGTAAAACAGACTAAGACATTATCGACGTATCTGTACTAGTATAAGAAATTGTTAATCAACTGATCATTATGAATAAAATTGTCTAGATTTCAGCTAGCAAAGGACTTGATGGGTTTCCCATTATGAGTCCTTCGCTGCATGAATAAAAATTTTAATCACATTATTAAAGCTTTTCAAGTATTCCAATAAAGTTTTCTGGAAATAATTCCAAATCTTCCAGCTTTACTTGATCTGGAATATTCGCAGTGAAATAACAGAATGGCATCGGTAATAACATTGAAGGGAAAGATTGGTTAGAAGATAAAATCTTTTACTAATAGTGATGAATATTTACGAGTATACTTTCAGAAAACTTTATGGGATAATCCAAGAAATGGAATATCTTTTTCTCCTAACATTGAGCCTGCTAGTGACACTGCGGTAATCACTAATAAAAGTTATGGACTCTGGAAGGACGGGGAATTCATGAAAGTTCCCTTAATGATTGGTTTCAATTCACAGGAATCAGTGACAGTTCTATGGGGTAAGAAAATGTGTATTTTACTAATTTCAATACAATTAATTCATATCGTTCACGTCCGATGCCCCTCATATAATGTTACAGCCTTGCCTTGCCTTGTTTAATGATATTTCAGTGAATTTTTTTCCTACATAATCTCGAAAGTACATGAAAGTTACTTCTGTAGAACATTATTGGAGGTAACTTTCGGAAGTCTCACTTTCTATTTCATCGAAACAATTTCTTAATTCATAAAACAAAAACAAATTGAGTTGATATTGAGCAGAAGGGCTCAAACCAATTCAATGTTATTTCGCCAATGAAAATGTAGTTTTGCAAATAAGCTCTCGAGCACATGTGACACAAGTATCTTTCATTGTTCACTATAATTCCAAAATAATAGGCACTAAATTCTCAGAACTGACTAAGGTTTTTTCCTTAATCTGTCTCTTGCAGTGG